TGGGAGACAGCGAAAGAGTATCTTGCAAAAGAACTGGAACTGAGAGCGGAGGCCAAGGTGCTTGGACAACCTAGGATTCTCCAGATCCACGAACGTCAGGCGATGCTGAGGGCTGTCGAGGCCTTACATGGGGCTTTGGGGGATTCAGAATGTCCGGCTGCTGACTATTTGAGTTTGAAGGCAGAAGAAACAGAGGCAAACGAACCCACTGCCTCACCATTAGATGAGATCATCAGCAAGCTTGCTTCAGCGAGCTCCTCCATTCAATCAACTGTTGATGGCACAGGCCATATACGGGTTACACGTACCAAGACGAAGTCGAAGATGCCATCTACGACAGAAGAATACCGTAAGGTGATGAAGGTTGAGATGTTCTCATGGTTGGCAATGGCATCAAGGTACAAATCAAAGCATTGGCTTCATGGACTCACTGCAGATCCTTTCTTGAAGTTTGTTGAGTATGTGTTGGGAGATCGGGTGTACGGTATCCAGATACCAACATCGGAAGGGGCACAACAGAAGCTCCGCCCTGACTGGGCAATTGTGCTGGCCTATGAGCAGAAACTCCGGAAGGAGGCTATGAGGCGAGTTATGGAGGGCCACACACTTGCCGATGCTCTCAACTCAGTAATCAAAGATGCAGACTTGAAGGAAGCTTATTTCACAACCCCTGTTGCTTTGAAGGCCTCACTGAGTGACGCACAACCCAACAAATGGCAGAGGTTCAATTCAAAGGGTTCTTTCAGCGGCAAGTCTTCTCCAAGTTTTGCCAAAGGCAAAGGGAAGGGCAAGGGAAAATCCAAGTCCTCGAATCAGGCTGACAGTCGTTTGAAAGGGCTCAATTTGGCTTGGCGTACACCTGACAACAGGGAATTATGCTTCGCGTGGAACTCAGGGGATTGCCCAGGCACTTGTGGAAGAGTTCATCAATGTCGAGTCAAGGGCTGCTATGCTGATCATAAAGCGATAGAACACAAGCAGAAGAAGGGCTCTTGACAGAAAACAGGTGCAGCTGTTGTTGACTCCGCTGCACCAACAACTCCTAGTTGCAAGGCGCCTCCATCAGAGGTCCCATGCGTCAAGGTGATGTATCTTTTCGCAGGGGCAAGGCGCCACTCAGATGTTGCAGCTTGCCTGAGGCAAGCCGAGGCCTCAGGGAATATCAAGTTAATTCTCAAAGAATTTGACATTGAGCGTTCCCCTGACCATGATCTCACCAATGTTGCTTTGTGGACCGAGATTCTTGAAACTCTTGATGAGGGTTCCTGGTTCATCATTGTGTCACCGCCCTGCAACACTTTCAGCAGGGCAAGATTTCAACGGCGCCATCCAGGCCCGAGACCAGTGCGAACGAAGGCATGGCCCAGGGGATTTCCATGGTTGAGCAATGCAAACAAACAGAAGGTTGCCGAAGCAAATTTTTTTCGTTGATAAATGTATTGAAGCCTGCGAGCGTGCTGCCAATTCCAATGGGTTTTTCATTTTGGAACATCCAGAAGATTTGGGAGTTGTTGATGATGAGCATCCTGGCTCTATTTGGCAGTGGCCAGAAATTTTGGAGCTCATTCCCAAATGCAATGCTTGTTGTTTTGCGATCCATCAATGTAGGTTTGGGGCCATTACACCCAAGCCGACACGTTTGTTGACCAATTTGCAAGTTTCTGATTCTCGCTGTCACATGTCGCTGCCAAAATTTGATCGGTCTGGTTTTTACAAAGGGCCACTGCCACGGAAATGTGGCCACCGTCATTCACATACTTTGATTGGAAAGACTGGCGCTAGATGGAACACAAGCCCAAGTGCAGCATACCCGCCACAGATGTGTCAATTTCTTGCTAATTTGATTCTCCATGCAGCAGCATCCTTCGGTGGGGGGAAGGAGAAGTCAAATCACAGAGGTACTAAGAGAGGTTCTACAGCCCCTTTGCCAGCTGCGAAGGCCTTGAAATCACAAGCTGGGCAAGTGCACAACTCGCCTCATGAGGTGCACTTGGTACAGGACTCTGATGAGGAGGAGACCACACAGTGTGATGGTGCCGCTGCCACAGTTGAAACAACAGGCGATGGGGGCAGTACAGTACAGGCAGATACAACCACTGGCATTTCACATGTTTCTGGCGATTCATCAGGTTTTGCGATCACTGGGCAATTTGACGATACAACCACCGGCATTTCACAGGTTTCTGGTGAGTCACCAGGTTTTGATATGAGGGCCTGCTTGAATGCTGGGGCACCTATACAGGTTGAATGGGATGGTGCTACACGTGGTTTCATCGATGGGTTTGGGCTCTGCAGTCCAACGAGATGGAAGCCGAGACAACGGGGAGTGCATAGGACCCCAGCGATGATCCAACTTGCTGCTGACACTTTTGACATCCTTGCAGAATGTGTTGATGAGTGCATTGCAGATGTACGTAAGGAATCATTTCGGTTGGTAACTGGCAAGATTCAGCAATCACCTTTTGGAGAAGAAGCTTTGAGGAAGTTGAGGGAGAAATGGGCAAATCTACTACGTGATCCTGCTGAGGCAAAGGTAGCGGATTCTGGCCAGCCTTTCTACTTGAGAGCTCTGGCACAATGGTTGGGCGTCTATGAGGACCCAGATGCACATTGGCTGGTTGACGAGTCGGATTCTTTTGCTTCTGGGGTTTACATTGGAGTGGATCAGCCATTGCCGAGATCACCACAAGTTTTTCCGGAGAAAGACAAACACCGCAAACTGGATGACACTGAATTTTCTCCCATTGCAGATAATTATCCGTCGGCACAGATCTCTGCAGTAGAGCTTGAGAAGAAGTTCAGAGAAGAGGAAGCCCTAGGGCGCATGCATCCCTCGAAATTGGGGGTACTCAAACAGGAGTTTGGTGACAAGCTTCGGGTGGCTTCGATGGCTGCGATTTCAAAGCCTGATGGATCAGTCAGGCCACTGCATGACGCCACTCATTCTGTCATGGTCAATCACGAGATAAGGTACCAGGACAAGATCATTTGCCCCGGCCCATCTGAGATTGCTGGAGTGGTCAGGGAGTCGACAGACACTGGTGAGGCACGGTTTTGTGTCAGCGCTGACATCAAGGCGGCGCACAAATTAGTCAAGGTGCGTCCCAGCGATTGGGGATATCTTTGCTGCAGGGCCGACTCTTCATCGGATGTGGTGTGGGTCAACCGCACCGGGACGTCTGGAGTGTCCAGCGCACCATATTGGTGGTCGAAGTTGGCGGGCTTGATTGGACGTTTTGTCGGTTACATTTTTCACGACAGATGGTTCATGCAGATGATTTACGTTGATGACCTACATGGATCATTCGTTGGGACCAACAAGTTCAGGTTTTTATGGATATGGATCCTTGCTTACGAGATGGTTGGCACTCCATTTGGGTATCACAAGTTCAAGGGCGGATTCAGCTCAGAGTTTGTGGGTTTCCATATCAGGTATGACCTTGCTGAGGTTGGGATTTCAAAAAGGCGTGGTGACTGGTTGGTTGACTGGATTATGAAGGCAGCATCCAACAGATATGTGGTGCCTTCTCGAGACTTTGTTGAGTTTCTTGGAAGACTTGGGTTTGTGGCCCAACTCATCACTTGGCTGAAGCCACATCTTTCACCTTTGTTCGCTTGGGCATCAGTCACCTCGAGGAGCACGGTTGGGAAGCTGCCTGAGACGGTCATTTTGACCTTGCAGTACATTTTACGTGAGCTCCAGTCGGAGACATACATGGTGTCGACACGGCGGCCTGACAGCTTTGAAGGAGACCAGTTCAGGACTGATGCAAAGTGTGCTGATGGGTACATTGTTTTGGCAGGCTGGGAGCTCGGATCCCGACGTTGGTTCTCTTTCAGGTTAACACCCGACGAGGCTCCTTTCTTGTTCAAGGAATCAGGGCAGTCACAATGGTCTTCGACCTCTTCAGAGTTGCTGGCCACCTTTGCTGCCCTTGGTGCTTTTGGATGGTTGACGGCAGACAGGCACCGGAAGTCTCTCACCATTGCTTTCTGTGGAGGAACTGACAACAAGGCGAATGAGTCACTGACAATTAAACGGGCCACGACGAAGTGGCCGTTGATGGCCATCAATATGCAGCTCTCCTCTGCCCTCTCCAAGTCCAGGCTCTCCCTTCGCCTTAAGTGGCGTCCACGGGAGGAGAACACGGAAGCAGATGACCTCACCAATGAGAGGTTCTCCGATTTTGACCCTTCAAAGCGGGTTGACATTACTTGGAAGGATTTAGATGTGTCCATTTTACAAGCACTGGTTCAGACGAGGGAGGAGTTTGAGAAGAAGAAACAGGAAGCTAAGGAGGCGTCTGACGGGCGTCAACCTAGAGGAAAGAAGTTTGACAAGTCGCCTTGGTAAATTCTTGGGGACCTCGCGATGGGTGCTTGCATTCAATCTCCTAAAGTGGGGGTACAACAGATTCAATGCAAATTTTCCTGGAAGGACAGCAGTCCTATGCTTTTGTGCTTGGCAGCTTTCTCAATGTTGATGGATGGAAAACGGCCGCAGGGCCTTTGGGTGCAAATGCACCGCTTGTTGCGACGAATTTGCTGTGGTGGCGTGAGACAGCACCACCTGGAGTCAAAAAGACCGCATCCATCATGTCCACCATTCCACGTTTGCATCAGTTGCAGTTTCAGTTTACACATGTGTTCATTTTCCAGCTGGGTCTGAATTGTGCGGTTGCAAATTTCATTTGATGTCATTGGATTCGAAGAGTTGGCATTTCTTATTTTACGTTTCGTTTTGGCGCTGGCGTTTTGCGATCTGGCATTTCTCTTGAGACCCTCACTACTCTACCAACGTAGTGTAAAGCGTAGGCATCATTGGGCTTGCCCAATGTGTCTATGCGGAACTCTGCGTTGGTCGGGTGGTGGTGGGGTTGTGGAAGGTCTCTTGCCAAGTTGGAAGTTCCACTTCTAAACTTCCTTCCTTTCTGTCCAGTTGGACATTCATTGCAATTCACTGGCAACGTTTATTTCTTCAGGATGATGACATTTCAATTTGGATGTCTTGGATTTTCAGTTTTCGAATTGGCAGTTGCTTTCCAGTGCGTTGAGTTCTTTTCAGTCGCTGCTTCATTTTCAATGTGTTGATTTTCTGTGCTGTCATTTTCACAGTTTGATTTGATCTGCTCTTGAATGTCTCGACAGTTCATGGTTTTACGATTCAAGTTTATTTTCAGTGATGTGGCATTTCGACAAATTCTTGCAGGTTCACTCAAACATTGCGTTGTCACGTCATTGGAGTTCAAGGTCATTACGTATTCTCTGAAGCCCTGGCTTGAAATTTTCTGAAGGCCCACCACTCCCACCGCTTTTGTCTGGTGAATTGGATCGAAATGCCACTTCCGCTCACGCTACAGCAACTCTTTGGCATTTTGCAGCCTGTCCCTGGTATGACTTTGATTCAGTCAATGCAGAGATACAACAAAGGGGGGTACAACAGATTCAATGCAAATTTTCCTGGAAGGACAGCAGTCCTATGCTTTTGTGCTTGGCAGCTTTCTCAATGTTGATGGATGGAAAACGGCCGCAGGGCCTTTGGGTGCAAATGCACCGCTTGTTGCGACGAATTTGCTGTGGTGGCGTGAGACAGCACCACCTGGAGCCAAAAAGACCGCATCCATCATGTCCACCATTCCACGTTTGCATCAGTTGCAGTTTCAGTTTACACATGTGTTCATTTTCCAGCTGGGTCTGAATTGTGCGGTTGCAAATTTCATTTGATGTCATTGGATTCGAAGAGTTGGCATTTCTTATTTTACGTTTCGTTTTGGCGCTGGCGTTTTGCGATCTGGCATTTCTCTTGAGACCCTCACTACTCTACCAACGTAGTGTAAAGCGTAGTAGTAAGTAGTAGTAAGTAGTAGTAAGTAGTAGTAAGTAGTAGTAAGTAGTAGTAAGTAGTAGTAAGTAGTAGTAAGTAGTAGTAAGTAGTAGTAAGTAGTAGTAAGTAGTAGTAAGTTGTAGTAAGTAGTAGTAAGTAGTAGTAAGTAGTAGTAAGTAGTAGTAAGTAGTAGTAAGTAGTAGTAAGTATTAGTAAGTAGTAGTAAGTAGTAGTAAGTATTAGTAAGTAGTAGTAAGTAGTAGTAAGTAGTAGTAAGTAGTAGTAAGTAGTAGTAAGTAGTAGTAAGTAGTAGTAGTAGTAGTAAGTAGTAGTAGTAGTAGTAGTAGTAGTAGCAGTAGTAGTAGTAGCAGGAGTAGTAGTAGTAATAGTAGTAGTAGTAGTAGTAATAGTAGTAGTAGTAGTAGTCGTAGTAGTCGTAGTAGTAGTCGTAGTAGTAGTCGTAGTAGTCGTAGTAGTCGTAGTAGTCGTAGTAGTAGTAGTAGTAGTTGTTGTTGTTGTTGTAGCTGTAGCTCCAAAATTTTCTCACTTGCGCCGCCTGATCACTTCCGCCTCAAACCGATCACTTGCGCCTCCAATACTCACTTGCGCCCCCCAGCCTACTCACTTGCACCCCCCTCCCTGCCTTCCACAATGCCATGATCTAAATTCTAAGGTTTCATTTAAACTTCCCCCCCCTTGCCTTCCACAATGCCATGATCTAAATTCGAAGTCTTTATTTAAACTTTCCCCCCTTGCCTTCCACAGTGCCATGATCTAAAATCGAACTCTTTATATAAACTTCCCCCCCTTTGCCTTCCACAATGCCATGATCTCAAATCTAACTCTTTATTTAAACTTCCCCCCCCTTGCCTTCCACAATGCCATGATCTAAATTCTAAATCTTTATTTAAACTTCCCACCCCTTGCCTTTCCACAATGCCATGATCTAAAATCGAATTCTTTATTTAAACTTCCCCCCCCTTGCCTTCCACAACGCCATGATCTAAAACCTACCTCTCTATTTAAACTTCCCTTCCCTTGCCATCCACTATGCCATAATCTAAAATCTAACTCTTTATTTAAATTCCCCCCCTTGCCTTCCACTATGCCATGATCTAAAACCTAACTCTTTATTTAAACTTCCCCCCCTTGCCTTTCCACAATGCCATGATCTAAAATCGAATTCTTTATTTAAACTTCCCCCCCCTTGCCTTTCCACAATGCCATGATCTAAAATCGAATTCTTTATTTAAACTTTCCCCCCCTTGCCTTCCACAATGCCACGATCTAAAATCTACCTCTTTATTCAAACTTCCCTTCCCTTGCCATCCACTATGCCATAATCTAAAATCTAACTCTTTATTTAAACTTCCCCCCCTTGCCTTCCACTATGCCATGATCTAAAACCTAACTCTTTATTTAAACTTCCCCCCCTTGCCTTCCACAATGCCGTGATCTAAATTCTAAGTCTTTATTTAAACTTCCCCTCTTTGCCCTCCACAAGGCCATGATCTAAAATCGAATTCTTTATTTAAACTTTTGCCCCCCTTGCCTTCCACAATGCCATGATCTAAAATCTACCTCTTTACTTAAACTTGCCTTCCCTTGCCATCCACTATGCCATAATCTAAAATCTAACTCTTTATTTAAACTTCCCCCCCTTGCCTTCCACTATGCCATGATCTAAATTCAAAGTCTTTATTTAAAGTTCCCCCCCCTTGCCTTCCACAATGCCATGATCTAAAATCTAATTCTTGATTTAAGCTTCTCCCCCTTGCCTTCCACAATGCCATGATCTAAATTCAAACTCTTTATTTAAGGACTACCACCATGCTACAACTTCTTCAACGTGGAGATCGGTCTGCACAAGAGCCTGTGACCAGGATGGGCCATATTTTATTCTTTCCATGCTTGTTCTGAGAATATATCTTTTGGCAGCTTGGACGAGATAACATTGGTTGTATGTTGCTGTTTTTGGCATGATGTCGAAGGACACGGAACTTCTTGATTGTTTGCGCAGTTTCGGAAAGCTGATCCTGATGGTCGTCATTTTTCGCTTAGGCTCCTGCGCAGAGTATTTCCCAAAGAACAGCTACCACGTTCGTCTACATAGTATTATACTTTCACTTCCTTTACATCTCCCACATAAATCAACTTCATCTACATGACATACATCTCCTACCAGTCATGTACATCAGCTACATCATTTACATCATCTTAAACAGCCGTTGTTACACAGGAGTTAGGGCACCGAAGTTGTTGCACAGAAGTTCTTACATAAAAGAGCCCTTTGGGAAGGGCTTGGACGGGCTTCCAGGGGGCTTGACGGGGGCTTCAGAAGGGCTTGAAGGAGGCTTGCGGGGCTTGAGACCGCTTCAAGCGGGCTTCAAGGGGGCTTGAGAAGGGATTCAAGGGGGCTTGCGAAGGGCTTCAGGGGGCTTGAAGGTGGCATGCTTGAAGGGGCTTCAAGGGGGCTTGAGAAGGGCTTCAAGGGGGCTTCAAGGAGCTTCAAGGGGGCTTGAGAAGGGCTTCAAGGGGGCTTCAAGGGGGCTTGAGAAGGGCTTCAAGGGGGCTTGAAGAGGGCTTCACCTTCGTGAAGCCTTCAAGGGCTTGAAGGGGGCTTCACGGGGGCTTGAGAAGGGCTTGAAGGGGGCTTGAGAAGAGCTTCAAGGGGGCCTCAAGGGGGCTTGAGAAGGGCTTCAAGGGGGCTTGACGGTGAAGACTTCGAAGGGGGCTTCAGGGGGGTTTGAGAAGGGCTTCAAAGGGGCTTCAGAAGGGCTTCAAGGGGGCTTGAGAAGGGCTTGAAGGGGGCTTCAAGGTGAAGGGGGCTTCAAGGGGGCTTGAAGGGGGCTTGAGAAGGCTTCAAGGGGGCTTCAAGGGGGCTTGAGAAGGGCTTCAAGGAGGCTTGAGAAGGGCTTCAAGGGGGCTTGAAGCCCTTCTCACATTCGTGCCCCTCCCCCCCGGGGAGGGACCCTTCAAGCCCCCCTTGAAGGGTACCTTCGAAGGTGGTGGCTCGGATCCAGCCCCGTTTTTTTATCGAATTGAACCAACTATACGCTATACGCTGGCCATGTTTTTCCGCAAATTTCCACGTTTTCAGGGTATAGTAGTCCAAGTTCATCAACTATACGCTCCGCGCTGTGGGAAAACGCGCATCGTAGCTTGGCGGCTGTTTGGGTGTCTTGTTCTCCGCGATGGCCTCAAGAGGGCCAACATCAGAAATAGTGACAAATTGCATCTGCAAGCCAAAGCAACAGAGTTCAGACGCCTGTCGCAACGCTTTGAGCTGCTGCTTCAAGTGGTTCAGCTCGCGCACCAAAACCTGCAATAGATTTCTCCACACATGTTGTTTCCTTTGTGGCCCTGGAAACTAGGGCCATCGGAACCTGCTGCCGCCAAAACCTTTCCCCATGTAAGTAGCAAGAAGCGGGCGCAAGATTGAGCAAAATGAGGTTCCAAAACCAGGGCCCCAAAACAGGCAGTTCTGCGGTGACGCATGGGCGTACCCCCATAGTACTTGGGCATTCTCAGACAAACTTCAATGGTTGCGTGCCCATTCAAGCGAAGTCGCAATTTGATTTCATGGTGAGAAAGATTTTACAGTTCAGACCCGTCATTCAGAATGTGTGTGCCTGTGCGACAATGAGCCCAGCATCAGACAAGTTCAACAGCGTGCAGTACGTGCTCGATTGGCGTCAGGCGTGACAAAACCCCTGCAGCTTTCAGCCATGGAAACTCATTGTGCGAAACACTGTGCAAAGGGTTAGAAGTTTGACCGGGTCGTGGATGTACAATGTCCAGGACAAGCTTTTACTGGAACTGAGCACAAACAACAGCATTTGGTCCTGGGCGATGAGGCATGCAAGCTGGCTTTTGAACAGGTATGCAGTTACACATGGATGGCTCACCCCAGCACCGACTCCTGTCGGCACGTGGAAGACTAGAGAAGAGAAAGTCTTGGGATGGGCTGGCTATGTCATCCTTTCGTGCTGGTTTACTCAAAACCCTATAAGGGAAAGCTTGCTGAGTTTGGAGAGCCGCTGTTCGCCTGTTTGCACACAAGCTACAAAGGAAATCCCAAACGGCAAAGAGTCCTAATGCTTGGCAACTGAGGGACAAGACACTTTTGTGGTTCACACTGGCAGCAGTGTGATGCTTTCAAGGAGCGTGAGGCGCATTCAAACAGACTGGAAATCACACCTTGGTTTCTACATCCACTTCGATGCACCGACTTGGAGGTTCAAAGCTGGTTTAGGAGGACGTGTCATTCCTACAAAGCGCACGGTGCAACAACAGCCTCTGGGTCCAATTGCGCCCTCAGATTTTCATGATGCTGATGGTGATGCAGTGAGAAAGAAGCCGAAGAAGAGAAAAATGAGGAGAAAGAAGCAAAGGCCATGGGCAGTGAGGACCCAATCAAAGAGCGTTTGCAGGGCATTCCAAGCACGGTGCCTGGTGAAGTTGCAGAAAACCCACAAAAGACTGCAGCAGATGTTTCATTTGCAGCATCAACTACGAACGTGCGTGGTGAGGAGGGGCTTGACATGAGTTTTCTGGAGGAAATGGAACAGGAACTTGCACATGATGATTTGTACGTCCCAAGAACTCTTGATGATCTACCTCCACAACCCCCACAGCCTCCTAGTCCACGTGCTTCACCCACCAGTCGCATGCATGATGGAAGTGGTGATGAAGGACATGATGCAAAGAAAGCGAGAGTTGAAGATCAAAAGAAACAGCGTATTGGATGAACTGCATTAAAAGGTCATCAGAACAGTGAAAATGTGTGACGATGAATATCATACCCTGGATGATTGGAGCAGTGAGCCTCAGTTGGATGCAGCTGATGATGATGGTGACAAAGATGATATCTGGGGAGATGAGGAAACCTTGCAGTTTTCCAATGTTCCGCAGAGCTTTGGTCGGATTCTCCAATCAAAATTGTTCCAGGACAACCTGAACCTTGGGTTGACAGACTTGCAGATGACGTTGAGATTCAACGTTTGCTTGGCATGGGAGTTTTGCAAAAGCGTTGTGAGTTTGAAGGTGAGATGAGTGGAACTCTCACAACGAGTTTTGTCTACGACTGGCGCTTGAAAACATATGCTGGTGACAACAGCTTGGTCAAAGGTGAAACAAAACGTTGGATGCGACGTAGTAGATATGTTGCAAGAGAATTTGCAAACGACAAACGTGATGATGTGTATTCACCTGCAACTGGATGTCATACATCAAACCTTGTGCCAATTGTCTTTCTTCAGATGTTGAAACAGTTGGAGTCAAGCGAGCTGGACAAGGAAAAGCATGATGTCGTCCTAGCTGCACTCGACATCAAAGATGCCTTGATGCCTTCTTGCAAGTGCCCCAGCAACATGTGGTCTCAGCGAACTTACATGGAACTGAATACGTTGTGCTGCGCAACCTTCCTGGTCAAAGACTTGGTGCAAAAGCATGGTACTGGCATTTCAGAGAATATGTGACAAGCAGCATGAACTTCCAATGGTGTTCAGTACAACCTTGTCTTGCAAAATGTGAAGGAAACGTTTTCATGGTGCACGTTGACGATTTGCTCTTCACAGGTAGCCGAGAGTTTTGGACTCAGAAGTTTCTGCCAACGATGCAACAGAAGTTCAGTGTGAGTTACAAAATGCTTGGTGGAACAGGAACGGAGATCAACTTTCTGAAAGGACGGCTTGTGATGTTGAGCGATGGAATGATGATAGCGCCAGGAACTTCAGCAGCAAAAGTGGTTGAATGTTTTGAGAAACATTTTGGTCATGCTCGTGTTCAGAAGGTACCCTGTGGCTCAGCTTTGCAACAGGAGGACAATTCTCAGAAGCTCACACCAACAGATGCAAAGAACCTCCGAAGCGTGATTGGACTTCTTCTTTACCTTTCACGTGACAGGGTCGATATCATGTTTGGTGTCAAGGAGTTTGCATCAGCTGTGTCCTCACCATCCCTATGCTCAGTGCAAAGACTTCGAAAGCGGATCGGGTTCATCAAATACACAGGTGACATTGGTGTCAAACTGCCGTTTCCAGAACATGGTGTTGGAAAGTTCAAGCAGGGCACAGAAGTGTTTTGGCTTCTTGAGACCTACACAGATGCAGACTGGAGCTCAAACAAGGCACGCAGGAGAAGCACTAGCTGCTCAACCCATTTTGTAAATGGATGCTTCGCCTATGGGTCAAGTCGTTCACAGAAGGTAGTGTCATTGTCTTCGGCCGAGAGCGAACTGCATAGCATGATTGGTGGTTGCTGTGACGGAATTTTCATCAGAAGCTGTCTGCAGTTCCTTTTGTCAGTGGATGTTGAGCACCACCAATTTACAGACAATTCAGCGGCCCGACAATTGATCTCAAGACAGGGAGTTGGAAGGATCAGGCACCTTTCAGGAAAACTTCTGTGGATGCAGTCAAAGGTCATGGACGGAGATGTCATCACCCACCAGGTGCCGACTCTTTGGAACTACAGTGATGTTTGAACGAAAAGCCTACCTCGCTCCAGACTACTGTTTCTGCTTTGTGGGATTGGTATGGTTGAAACTGATACAGCTGAACCGCTTGGACTGGAAGAATACAAAAACGTGGCAGAGCAAGAGACAAAGAGAAAAGAGATCGGCAAGCTGGCAAAGACTTTGAAAAAATCACGTTACTCATGACAGTGCAGGGCCTCGGGCCGGTGGTTGCAGAAGGTGCTGAGACAAGCGGTTTGCAATGTCCCAGCACAAGCATGGAGGCGGTCGAGTGCTATGAACATTTTGGAATGTGGATCGTGATTTTCGCTTTACTGGTCCTTTGGTTTCTTTTTGCATACATGGCATGCTTTGCATGGAGAAAAATGCAAGACAACTTGAATACGCACGGAGAGAAACTGGAAAAGGCGGAATGGGATTTGTACCACTGCTGGAACCAAGTTGGAGATGAGGATAACTATATTGCCCAACAGGCTTCAAGGATCGATGGACTCCACAACCAGTTCATGATGATGGATGGACGTCTTACAGAAGCAAGCAATGAGGCGTCAATGGGTCACGACTATATGGTTGGACTTCATTATTCAGTTGTGGAACTGGGTGGATTCTTGCGTTTTCCGTTTAGAGTTGAACCAAGCCATTTGATTTCCATGGGAACTCAGGAAAGAGCCAATCTTGTGGCTTACAATACCATGGGTGCAGGGCAATATCTTAACCTTGTGAGGCAACGTGCGTATGTGGTAGCTGGAGAGACAACTGATGTGCAAATGACTGCAAACCAGAATGCCAAGGAAATAGCCGAGGTGAGGAAGGCACGGAAGATGAAATCACAGCAGCAAGGCCTTTACAAGACCCTGCCATGACGAGCATGTTCGAGGAGTTGAAAGTAGAGTTCAGGTCAGCTCTTCAAAGGGAGGAACCACAGGATGCAACGAGACGTCAACACATTATGTTACAAATGTTGGAGGATATCAGAAGTGGAGTGACAGAAGGTATGGTGCAAAACTACAGCACGAGAATTGGAGATCTGCTCTTTCAGTTGTCAGAAGTGGCAACACGCCAGGGCAGGATTCAAAGTGGGATGTGCTACGGCCGACGCTGCACACATTTCAGAAGAGATGAGCGAGAAAACTCAATGGATTTTTGTGTTGTGAGCGTTCAGCAAAATTTGGCTGAGCGCGCGCAAAAGTTTCAAAAATGGATGACGGCAAAGTGAGCTCAGTGCTGCACATTGCCAAGGACGAGTGCGAATCATTTTTGACAGCACTCTGCACAAGGATGACATGCACAAATCATGATGAGAAGTGTAACAAGTTTCATTCAGCAAACATGGAAAATAGATGTGCGTATCTTGAGGCCCATTGTGGTTCGAGAAAAGTGCGCTCCCGCTCACACAAGAGTATGTCCATGTGTCTGTTGTCGTGGAATTGGACCATATCATGGTTGACGGCATTTGTTTAAAAAGGAGGACGTAATGATTTGACGGACTACGGCAGAAAATGTTGAACTTGGATCGATTGCCTGAAACATGAAACGCACAACCAACGAACATGGACTACTACCAGGACAAAACGTTTTTATTTTGCAAATGTATCAATAGCGGGTTTGATTTCAAATTCGGTCTCTCCGTGAAACCTCATGTTGAGAATGATGGAGCTTGTGAAGTAAATGAAACAATGTGGTTAGGGAAAATTGATTGCAGAAACTTGTCGGTTCCGTGAAAATTGCATTCAAAATCATAAAACAAAAATCACAGAACAAACACTCGCAAAGGATTCCACAAATTTGTACATACATACCGCCATTATTTTTTTAGTATCACAAAAATCGTGTTTGGTATACGGTACACCACAACACTTGCTTGTCCTCGAATTACAATCACCTTGTGCTGGTAGGTGTGGGATGCATGGTAACCATAGGGCACGTTGAATCATGCAAAACGCAACGATTGGTTGCGTTTTCTGATGGACGCTTTTGCCTAGAGGCACGGGCAAGAAATGGTTCCTTGGATGCACCAGTCCACTTTGACATGCCAAATGGATTGTCCAGCATCGCAGTTACGCCAAGGCAGCATTTGTTTCCATTCCTTTGCAGCAACACTTGGTGCGTGGATTCGGAACCAATGAACGCTTCGAATGCTTTGCGAAGACGAACACAACAAGGACCAGTTGCATTTCTTTGGCAGAGAAACATTGGATTTTGTGGTTGTGTTTCTTTGCACCGCAAATTGTGTAGCCAAACAGATGGAACATTATGAAATTATATGTTCTTTGTCCTTCTGCAGGAAAAACTTGGATTCATCCTTTCGATTGTCAAAATCAAAATTTGCTCTGGTTGTGGCGGCTTTCGCATTGCCAATCCGGCGGCGAAGGGATGAAGGCGCTCTTTAATATCGACTGGTTATTTTTTTTTCAGTGTTTCGGTGAAAACGGTGAAAACGGTGAAAAATCAGAATCACAAACCATTTTACATTGTTTTGTTGACCCAGCAATTTGTGAAGAAACAAGTGCTAAACTGAATTGCAATTTCAGGCCGTATATGGCAAACAGCCAGCCGTCAGGACTGAGATTCCTTTGATGATGACAATGCAACATGTGAACAGAGAACTACAAAGTATTCTCCTGCACGATTTTGATGATGCAACCATGCTTCGCTGTTGTTTGGAGCCGACCAGGATTCAGAAACTATCCTAGTTGAGGGCGAAATTGAGGAAAAACTGCAACAGAAACTTAGATGGGTGAAAATTTGCTTGCAAGCATCCGCGTTTGTGTTGGTACCATGGAGGGTGGCTTTGTTGTTCTCTTGCACTGCAGGGTCTGAGGCAACGCAATGAATTTAGGGTCCGATTTGTATTTGGAACTCTGACTCGCTCCAAACGCAAGACATGCATCAGTTTTCACTTAGTTGGCAGTTTTGTGTTTGTTGACTTTGGCATATGTTGTCTCAGCAAACTATTGCTATGGCTGGATGTTTGGAACCAACAATTAATGGTAGTACACGCTTTACAAAATCAAACAAATTAAGGAACAATGAGTTGCGATTCGGCAGCTTGGAAGCATTTTGTGAGAAGTTGCACGGTTGTGTAAAGACGTGTAAATCCATGAATTATATCACATACGCACGTGCATGCCCGGCATTTGCATTCCATCTTCTAATGGTTTGCTATGGCTCAGGTGTTACAGATTCTTTCATGCTTTCGTGGATCAGTCGGAGACTGCATTCCTTTTTTCCAGATGCGACTTGGCCAAATGATGCTGAAGGCCACTGTTTTTTCTCTCGCAATCTTCACTCTTTCTTAGGTCCAATTCTCTGGCATGGTCTTGGCAAATGAGGCTTAGGACTCATCCTTCGATTTCAACTGTTTCTCATGTTCAAAATGTTGGAAGCTTTGATCACTTGGTTGGTGTGGTGGATGTTGAGGTCGGAGGCTGTGGCCCAGAGCAATTAGCAAATCTTCAAGGACTCTTAGAGAGCGAGGAGGCGCGGATTTTTTTGGAACCCAACACTGCCGTAGCAATGCCGTAGCAGCATCTCTTTCTCCAGCTCAGCCATGTTGAGTTTGGCCGAGCAAGGTTGATTTCATGGTTTTGCCCGCCAAAGACGCCAGCTCCTTGTGAAATGGGTGCAGACACACGGTTTATTGATGTCCACAATGAGAAGTATGACAAGTGAGAAGCGCGGAGGTTGCCTTTTCTCTTCCAAGCGGTCTTTCTGCTGCTGCCATCCTCAGAGAGGCTGCCTCACTGGAATCATGCAGTCCCAAAAGATTTTTAGCATACTGATAGCATTCGTAGCTGCATCTTTCTCAACTTGTTGCACAAGAAGGATTCTCGCGATGCTGTGGCTCGCTCCTCAAAAATAAAGCTGGAGGCGTTTTGCCTTGACTCACTGTTCCTCCGAAACAAAGTGGATGTGCCTTCCGATCGCCATGTTGGAAGCTCAGGTTGTCAGACCTGGGATTGAGTCTGTGACATCCCTTTCGGTTGGTGGCTCAGACAGATTTCAGCAGAAATATCCAAGTGGCCAAACGCAGATGACCTACAGATGACCTAATTGAAGACGTCCAAATCTCAAGAGGAGCATTACACCATGACTTTCTGCAGAGGACTTGCCACCGGGCAGTACGGTTTGTGTGTCCTGTGCACGGCGTCGCTTGCAAATATCTTCCAGGTGGGAAGTGGGTGGACTTTTTTGGCATTTGAATACCTTCTTTCCTTTTGATTCAAGATGTTCCATGGCTTAAATGCAAAGATTAGCTCAAAAATACGAATTGCTTTGAATGATAAACTTGCTGCACTTTGGCATGGTTTGATGAGTACAGAGATGTACACAGGTTTCCAGCTCTCAATATCTTGGAGAGCACGCTGCTCAGATTTCCGACGTGAGAGTTGCATCACTTCTGATTGCTTGAGGAACGGCTGTTGATAATGATATAGAAAAGGGATCTACTTAGGAAGGCCTTTAGTTATCTTCTACATTCACTCAGGAAAACTTACAGTTTTAGTCAGTTGGCTGTTGCAACTCTACCTATGCTTTACATTGAGCAGATTGAAGGCAGGTCCACACTACACACCATTGTTGGAAATGCCAACATTTTCTGGGCATGTCTTGATATGTTTTTTCATTTTGATAGTGTAAGGCAATCTACCTGCACAATCTCGACTTCGGCGATTGTACAGTTTGGATTTCGATGCAGTCGTTGCTGCTGTTGCTGGCTTGTGCACCCGGCAAGATTGCAAGCATACCTCAGCCGCCGCAGATAACTTGTGCTGTAGATACGAAAAAGGTGGTTCCCAAAAGGTTCTCAAAGACAAAGTATCTAAAAGCAAAGTTTCCAACCTTTATCTAGACATATCTAGACTTTGAACACACTCCACTATGTGCATACAATTTGCAAACGCTCTTTGTTGCGGAGGGACTCTTTGATCGAAAAAAAACAGGCATGACTTGGTTGCATAGGCAAAGTAGGTGTAAAGGCGTAAAGGTCTTTCTGGGAAAGCCAAAGGCATTTGCTGATTCTTTGACATGTAGTTGCTACACTTGGACACAAGGATCGAACTTTCATCGAAGGAAGTTTAGAAGTCAAACTTCCGACAATATGGACAGATGAAAAGCAGAGATGGGAAGAGTCAGAGAAGAGAAGAGAAGAAGAAAGAAGATCAAAAAAGAGAAAGTCAGAAGAAAGAAGATCCAGGTGCGCGAAAAGGTAGGAAAGCCGCGAAACACTGTGTTTTTTCCAATGTTTTGTCGCTCCGGGGGGTCGAAAAGTAGGCTCGCTAAAGCGGCGGGTGCGGAGCCAGCTGGCCAGATGAGAGGTGAAAAAGTGCACACCGTTGTGGCGTACACACCATTCTCGGACCACCTCACGTTGGGAGCACTTTTGGAAGTTGAGATGTCGAAAAAGTGCACGCAGTTGTGGCGCGAAGCACATGTCGAAGTCAAAATGCACAAAGCACCTCATGTTCGGACCACTTTTGGAAGTTGAGATGTCGAAAAAGTGCACGCCGTTGTGGCGTGAAGCACATTTCGAAGTCAAAATGTACAAAACACCTCATGTTCGGACCACTTTGAAGCAAGTTGAGATGTCGAATAAGTGCACGCCGCTGTGGCGTGAAGCACATTTCGAAGTCAAAATGTACAAAACACCTCATGTTCGGACCACTTTTGGCAGTTGAGATGTCGAAAAAGTGCATGCCGTGGTGGCGCGAAGCACATTTCGAAGTCAACATGTACAAAGCACCTCATGTTCGGACCACTTTTGAAGGAAGTTGAGATGTCGAAAAAGTGCACGCCGCTGTGGCGTGAAGCGCATGTCCAAGTCAAAAGTGTAAAAAATTGATGGGTTCGGGCCAATCTTGGAAGTTGCGATGTTGAAAAAGTGCACGCGGTTGTGGCGCGAAGCACATTTCGAAGTCAAAATGTACAAAGCACCACATGGTGGCGCCACTTTTGGACGTTGAAGCGTCGTTTTGCGTGGCAGGCGCAAGGGATTGTGCACCTTGTCAAAAGTGAGCAAAGTAGCATTTTCAAAAAGGATGGCAGGCGTGGGACACCCGAAGAGGATCTGCAAAGATGCATTTTCCGTGGCAGGCGCAGTACAAGAGACATGTTCATCAGAGCTGTTAGGAGGTCCGGGTGCTGATTTCCTCAGAGTGGTTGCATTTTGGAACATCAGATCTTCAGGTTTGCTGAGATGATTTTGCGTGACAGGTGAAGCACTTCATATGACCTGGCATCACTTTTTCGTGGCAGGTGCAGTACTTTAGACAGGTGGAGTGTTGGTACGAGGCCGTCAGCTCTGCACTCAACTTTCCATTTTTGAAGGAAGTCTCGCAGGATTGTTTCGTTTTTGATGTTGTCAACTTCGAAAGTTGAGGAAGTCTCGCAGAATTGTTTCGTTTTTGATGTTGTCAAGTTCAAAAATTGAGGAAGTCTCGCAGAATTGTTTCGTTTTTGACGTTGTCAAGTTCAAAAATTGAGGAAGTCTCGCAGAATTGCTGCGTTTTCAAGCTTAGACAGACAGACAAACAGACAGACGGGCAGACAAACAGATAGATAGATAGATAGATAGACAGACAGACAGACAGATAGATAGATAGATAGATAGATAGACGATTACAACTGCAACAACTACAACTATCACTACACTACACGACTGCTACAACTACTACAAGTATACTACGCTACATTACACTACACTAATTACATCTATTTACACTACACTACACCAATTACACTAACAACTGCAACAACAACTACTACCACAACTACAACTACAACTACAACTATAACTACACTACACTACACTAATTACACTGCAGCACACTACAACTACAAACACAACTACAACTACAACCACACTACATTACACAACACTACACTACACTGATTACATTGCATTACACTACAACTACAGCTGCAGCTGCAAATACAACTACAACTACCACTACATTACACTACACTACATTACACTACACTGCACTACACTAATTATGCTGCAACCGCAACTACAACTACACTACACTACACTACACTATTTACACTGCACTGCACTACAACTACAACTACACTACCTTACGCTAGACTACACTACACTATACCACACTACACTACACAACACTACACGACATTACGCTGCATTACGCTACACTAATTACACCACACTGCGACTACAACTGCAACTGCACCTGCAAATACACCAATTACACTACATTGCAGCTACAGCCCCACTACACTACAACTACAGCTACAACTGCAACAACAACTGCCTTACACCACACTACATCCAGCAGTTGTGGTAAGGTGACCACTGCAACCATTGTAACCATTCCAAAAAACACAACTCCGACTCCAACCACCTGTTGGTCCATCAGTGGATTCTCTCTGCCATCCGTGATTGACAACAACCAACCTGTCCTATAGGTTTCCTAATCTTTGAAACTTCCGCCACCGCCTTGTGCGGCACTACTGGTAGGATGCTTGAGAACCAATGTATACCAGACCTGCATTTACATTTTGTTTGGATTTTCAATCCAGAATAGAGCTGACACTGTGTGCAAAGCAGTTTGCAAAGGACATTCCTTGTGCACGCTATATGTAGATTTAAGCGTCCAACGTGCGCTCGTTGCGTTTATGATGGCCATTCATATTTATGTATATCTGTATATTTGATTGAATATCCAGAGTGTTTGAGAGACTATCTAAGAAATGTGTATTTCGACGGCACGATGGTAATTCTTTGGATCCCAAAGCAAAACATGGTCCAGGAATAAGACGTACAGTAATCTGCGGATAGTGGATAGTATCGGCTAGTACGCGCATCGGAACATTGAATGCGAATTGAGATATTTATTCCCAAATCGGATGCTCCATAGAGCTCCTTTATACTATTTCCTTAGTTTTTTTCCCCTCTCTCTCTCTCACTGCAGTCCAAAACATGCCAGGCAAAGGACAGGCCTCAGTATGGCTGAAAAAGAAATTTCGCCTTTGAAATTGGATGAAGTTATGCCGGCCCTTTGTCAAGGTGGGGGCTATGTTTTCTCTTGGCATGGATTTAAGTAAGCCATGAAAAATCGCCATGATTGCTGCACTGGCTTTGCAGGCGCTGTAACTATGCTGTGCCGAAGCAAAGATGAAGAAATACTCTCCTTGCCAACCTGGCATTTCTTGACAAAACCAATGTGGTTACTGCCGGCTGCCCTTACTGCAGCAATAACTCACTTAGAACTCACTTAGACTGAATGCCATTTAGCCGTGGCAAGGCTGGCAGACTGTGATGACGATGCAGTCATGAATCCTAGCTGGAGACGTGACAAGGGACGTTGCCAACAGCACAGCCAGCAACGCTGCGTTTGTTTCGCCAAAAAAACAAATTGTTTTGGTTCAAAGGCTAGACTTTGCATCGTTGCTGAGCGCGATCTTCTGCGTCGACTTGGAAGGCCGCAGCCACAGCCACACTTCCCTCGTTGCAATCGTTGCCACGTGCCGCAGCAGGTTGCCAGATGGTGCTGCAGTGCTGAGCCCAGTTGTCACAGTTCCAGCAGGGTTCCAGGACTATCAACTGCCAAGGTAGGAGGTTTGGCTCAATTGTGGTGCGGAGCCTCGAGTGCGTGCAACGTGTACCACAAAAAAATCCACATACAATTATACATAATTATGAAGATACATATAATACATACATACATACATACATACATACATACATACATACATACATACATACATACATTCATACATACATACATACATACATACATACATATGGGATCATATGTGGGATCATGTAGGATCAGGTCGGAAAGTTTCTGCAGGCCCTATTTGCATTCCACAGCTGCGCTGCAAAATGACTTGCCTCTGGATATGTCAAAAATAAGCAAGAGCAAGCCACTCAGAATCCAAGCACCTCATACAACTTGGCCATGCAATGTGTCCAGCCGGTGCATCAGGCGGCTCAAAGATGTGACGATACGTGGTGCAGTGGTGCCCATTCCGATGAGCTGTGAGTCGTTGAGGTCTAGCCATGGAAGTTTTAGTGGGACCGGAGGCGTGCGCTTTAAATCTGAGCAATCCTCCCCGCCCCAAGCACCATCACGGACCACCACTCCTGTCCGGACTGTGAATTCTCCTCGTGGACCGTCACCATCAGCATCGTTTGAAAACTCAAATGCAAGATATTCAAGCCGCCGAAGTTTACCGGACTCTGTGTCCTCCAGACCTGAAACACCAAATAGCACTGCATCTGGGCGATCTAACACACTGGTCGAGGGGCGGCTTCTTTTGAATGACTTGGATAATGAGGGCACATCCAAGGAACATGTTCGCTTTGTTCATTTCGACGAAGACAGAGCTTTGCTTCGCAAGTATCAGGACTTGCCCTTAGAGCTCTATGGTCAACCAATGGCCTCAGACTCACCACGGCGAAGAGAGGCTTCACCCCAGTCTCCCAGAGATATCTCATTTGACAGGCCAAGAGATTCACCCAGGTCTCCCAGAAACCCTTCACCGAAGAAAAAGGCAAAGCGCCCAAATCATCCACCACGGAGGAAACTTGTGAAAGCTTTCAAGAGTGACAAATTTGAACACTCTCGGATTGAGTCATGCTTGCAAGTATATGGGCAGCCAGCAAGGGTTGCAGTGGAGGCCAGTGAAATGACTCTTGAAAATCTGCAGATCGATTCTAGGCACACTGACGAAAGTGAATCTGGACCAACCGTGGAAGCAGTGGAAACAGAAACAGATAGGGGACCTGCTGACTGCACCGATGATCATTCGGCTCAACAAACCAGAACAACGCCTTCTCTGGTTGAGCGCAACGATTCGCAAGTGCCCCGTTCAGGTTCAAGTTGGACTGGCAAAGCCATGGGTTTCGAATCTGAGCGATCCAAGTCCAAGGGGCAGTATCCGGAGTCGAGCACTTCATCCAAATCCCGTGACTGGAAGGATGTCCCGGTGGAGATCAGAGGCATTCTCCGAAGGGTTCCTTCGTTCGGCCAGTGCTCTTCGCCTTCAAAAGGCCGGAGAAACCAAAGACTCAACGGTGCAGCAAACTCCTCCAAAGACTCAACGGCTGAAGCAGCTCTGAGCTCAGAGGTGGTAGAAACGGCTGAGAAAATATCAGTCGAGATTCAATGCTCGAGCGATTCTGAAGACGATTTGGACGACACTGTGTGGTCCACTGGGCGAAGACGCTTAGCTTTATCAAGTGACTGTGGTTTTCCAGAATATATATATATATATTTGTTGCATTGTGCAACAGTACATTTTGATAACATGTTGTATAACATGTGTAACCATTTGTATATTTCATGAACCAGACAGGCTTTCACACCTTAGGAGTGTTGCTTCGGCGTTGCAGTCCCGACAAAGTGACCTGGCACCGTTGGCACCGCCTTGAGCAGCAGAAAGGCCTCAGCCGCCTTCAGCTGTACCTCCAATCCTTTCAGCATCGATTCCCTGGCACTCTGGAACCTTGTTTGCAACGTGTCACCATGTGATTTACATGTCATTTAGATGTCATTTCCTGACATTTGTCTTTTGATATCTTTAAGTGTTTTTCCCAAAAGCATCTCCGATGCTTGCGTTCTCGTTTAGTTGACTTTGCCGCGAGGGGAGCGATACGGAAGCGACGAGAGGGTGGACGGAGGGGAAACTGTGGGAAATAGCTTGGGGAGGGCTCAGTTGGGAGGGAGCATGATGGAAGCGACGACAGGGTGGACGGAGAACCGTGGGAAATAGCTTGGGGAGAGCTCCGTTGGAAGGAGCGAGATTGAAGCGACGACAGGGTGGACGGAGAACCGTGGGAAATAGCTTGGGGAGAGCTCCGTTGGGAAGGAGCGAGATGGAAGGACGGGAAGCCGTGGGAAATAGCTGCTCCGTTGGGAGGGAGCGAGATGGAAGCGACGACAGGGTGGCAGGAGGGGAAACCGTGGGAAATAGCTTGGGGAGAGCTTCGTTGGGAAGGAGCGAGATTGAAGCGACGACAGGGTGGACGGAGGGGAAACCGTGACAAGGTGGACGGACGGGAAGTCGTGGGAAATAGCTTGGGGAGAGCTCGGAAGCGACATACTGAGAAGCAGAGCTGTTGGCACGGGTTTTATGCCCACCCATACCCTTAAACAAGGATGGCCACACAATCATAGAATGAGATTATTCACATGGGTCAATTAAGAGTTCTGACACCACAGATTTTACAAGTGAATAGACTGATTGCTTGCCCCCCACCAAGGGCAATAGGCGCACTGTTTGAAGCTTTGACTAGGCAGCCCTTGTCGGATTTTGGGAGTTTGGGTCGCAGCTTGGCAGCAGGCAACGCAGCAGACTGTGGACTTTGAGAGCAAGTGGTATCAACAAGCTGCGGCCACTAGGGAGAAGCACAAGGTCTCTCTGAGTTTCAAACCGTGCGCTGTTTATTGTTTTTTGTTTTGTTTATTGTGTTTTTATTGTTATTGTTTTGTCTTTTGTTTTTTTTTTAAGGTTTCGGCCCTAATTGCCCCCCGCACGTTTGTGGCATTTAGGGTTCCGATAGCCTTAGCGGGTGTGCCCGTGCCTCCACCCGCGGGCTCTACATCTACGAGCCTCTGGAACTGGTGGTTAAGGGTCAACCACAGGCAATAAAACCCTGTCACGCATTGGTTCTTCATTTGGACTGGTTCTTGCTGCTGTTTAATCGGCCAACAACTTTGTCTTTTTACATTTGCAATTCATTTTTGGGACTTTATAGCTGCTATTGAATTAGCCTATACTTTGTCCTTGTGTTTGCGGCGACAGTCGGGCTTGCCTTATTTATTTGGCTCCCCTTCTTCGTCTACACCTTTGAGGTGGTGAACTTTGTCATTGAGTTCGGGCACTGGTGAGTTGAATTTCCTCATCATTCCGTTCTTTATTTTGGCATCTTCTTCACCTTCATTTTTGAGATTGTGGATGTTTTCGCTTTTCTACTTCTTTGCCATTGTTGTGAATTTGAACGCCAACCACGACTTCCTCGCTGTCCAGTTCCCAGCGGAGAAGCCAACGCAGACAGAGAGCTCTGGCACGTGCAAAGTGGTACCGCCATCGGAAAGGTATCCACGTTTTGAGCCGTTCACAGCTCCTGCAACTGATCAAGACGCTCAAGGCGCACCATTCAAAAGACCCTGGGCTCCTCAAGACAATCACGATGGAGACTCAAGAATCCTATGCCTGGAATTGTCCTTGCGGACGGCTTTGCGGGAAGAAGCATGCGCATTGTCCGGATTGCCAAGGGCACTGGACGGCAGGCACTCCCCATTCAAACAGGCCCAAGTCACCAAGGGCCTATGCCAACCAGGAGGATTGGTCATGGGAATGGTCAGCAGACCACCAGAAAAGGGGACGAGGTGCCAAACAAAACCAGAAGGCGTGGACGAGAAGCGCGAGTGCAAGAGCAAGGGCAGGCAAAGGCAAAGGGAAAGGGAAAAAGACGGATGTGGTGTCACCGTTTTCCCAGAGCACTTCTACACCTTGGCCATCGCCGGAAACCACTCTTGCATTTCCGACGCCATTCCCACAGCAGACCCCTACTGCACCGGCTTCAACGGCACAGAGCTCAGATGCCAACGACATCGAGCTTATGCTGGCTGTGAAGGAGCAGTACCCCGACATCACCAAGGCACCAGCCAGGATCCAACAGGCTGTGGCCAAGGCGGAAAAGAAGACTACGCCAAAACAATTGACGTCAGGTCTTCACAAGACATCGAGTGCAGTCGGGAACGCCACCAAGGAGTTGCAAGCCCTCAAGGATGCAAAGGCCAAGCACAGAGAGCGCTGGCTCAAGCACTTGCACGAATCAGTGCAATGCTGGGAACAGCAACTCAAGCTCTATTCGGAGCAGCAGCACAACTACAATGGCCTCATCAAAAAGGCCAGGCAAGACCTGGCCACGGCGAGGCAAACCTTGGAGGACCTCAACAAGAAGGCCGCAGGCCACGACGAAGCAGATCCGGAGACGGCAGAGCTCGAAGATACAAAATATGCAGACACAGAAGCAACAGCCCTGGCTGCCCAAGTCCAACAGGTCTTGCAGGCCTGTGCCAAGGCGGCAACAAAGGAAGAGACGATGGAGATCTCCGATACAGAGGAAACAACGGCCCCAGCCAGCAAACGCCAAAGGTCGCTCGAGCCATTTGGTGGACCACCTGCTGGTGCGCCTGGTATGTGAGCATAGGCAGCGAGACTACATGTCTTCTCAATGAGAATGAGTTTCGTGGGCCTTGCACTGGGGACACAACACAGGCCATTGGTGCTGATGCCTACCCCTTTGGTGAATGGGGTGCAGCAAGCAACATGGATCTGTTGGCGTCTTTTACCTGTCCCTTGACAGCCTGTCACAGCGCTATCTGGGACCCTTCAATCCTCTTCACGGACACATTCACAGCATTGGGTCGAGCTGTACATCTTCGAGGAGAAGTACTACTGGCCTCTTGCTTGTCGGCGTCACCGGCCGTTCCTATCACCACCTCTTCCAGTTCGCTTATGTCTGAGTACAAATCCTCCTGCCGCAAATCGGCTTTGACGAAAGCATGCAACAAAGTCCATTTTTGCAAGTTCATAGAAGCTTACCAAGTGACTGGCTTCGCATCGATTGAGCCCCTGAATGTGACAGAGTTCTTTGATGAGATCAGCTTGATGGCACGTGCTCCAGCACAACGGCCACCATCGGTGAGCTCCTACACTGACTCAGATCTTGAGATACATCCTCCAACATCACCGGAATCCTTTGAAGAAGCCTACATGTGGAATTCTGTTCAAGTTTTCGATATGAGAGGCAACCAGGCAAGAGGAAGAGTCCAGGTGCAACCAATTGAAGCCAAGTTTGCACAAACCAGGAGGCTGCTGGGGTACACGCACCATCAGGTAGCTGAAATTTTCCCTGTCAAGCCTACACCTCAGGATTTGGATCGAGCGCATGTTCATCCATACCTGTTGTTAGGGCATGAAGATCTCTTCGATGGAGATGAGCGCATTGCTGTGTTGATTGACCTCGAACTGCATGGGCCCAATTTTGAGTCCATCATTGAGACAGACCGCTACACCACCTTTGTGCCACCACACATCCATAGAGAGTTTCTCTTGCGATTGGCCGGGGTTGCTTCTTACTGCCAGCTGCAACAGGACAGATGCTTGGTTTGGCACCAAGGGAACCTGGTTGCCCAGCAGTCAAGCGCGTTGCTTCAAGTACATCATGGTGATTACTTGCGCATTGCTGCACCCCCATTTGATGAACCTTCCATCCCGACACACTTCGCTGTGCGTGCTTGTCAAGCGGGTTTTGATCGTGACCAGTTGATTTCGCATTTTCAACAATATGGAGCTGATGATGAAAGCCTATACACAATGATCACGAACGAACAGAACACGCCTGAGGTGGAAGGACAGACCAACACTACGCATGAAGAACATGACCAGTTGAGCAACTTGCAAACTGCTTTCCGACAGCTGCCGGCATGTCTCATTTCAAGCAAACTACCAGGACAAGATCAACAAGGAAATGTTTCCTGCAGCCTCACAGAAGAGTTCCTTCAAGCAATCCGAGCTCGAAGCCAACTTACTGAGGAACTGCCACAGGGACCTCTACCTTTCCCAGATCTCTCAACTGCTCCTGCTTTTGTACGACAATTGCACGAAGCTCACTATCAGGCTACTGCGGGCGTGCCCCCAACTGCCGACCAACAAGAGCTACGAGTTGAAACCTGGTTCACAGATCATGCACGACTACAACGCTGCCATATCCCTCGGTTAGTCCAGCTTGGCCCTGACTTCCGAACCTGGGAGCAACAGATTCGGCTTGAATGGATCGACCATATCGATCTTCGGTCAGAGGTTGAATTCTACGTTGTGCATCCAATTCCTGAAGACAAGGATCCAACAGCAGTAGCACAGCTCATACTGGTCCAACATGCTGACATGCGACAGAGCTCTATTGTGCTTTCCATATATGATCGGGCGTACGATGGAGGCCGACCCCATTCACACGCAGTGGTTACTGCTGACAGGGTCAGCTTGCAATCCCTCATCTCAATTGCAGAATTCAGTGAACACTGTCCGCCTGAAGCTCCACTGAATGACTGCCATCTCCGATTTGGGGAGATCGTTGTACAACCATATCAACGAGTCGCAGTACGACATGGATTTGCACTCCAACTGCACATCAACCGGCCTCGAGAATTTGACGTTACCGAAATGGCAGCTATGAATGAGGATGAACTCAGAGATGCGTTGGCACAGGCCTTCTCCGATGCCTCGCACTACATGAACACTTTCTCTACGGCAAATGTTACAATGAGTGAAACCATTGTGCCTGTCGATGAACACTGGCTACCTGACTGGCACAACAGTCTGCTGACAGCCATTGACATTGATGGGCATCAGGCACTGCGAGATGGTTCAGCAGTATATGTTGACACATGGTATCTCAATGGACAATATGAACCCCGAATGCCATTTTCACGTAGAGTACGATTGAGCCCGAACCAAGCAGCATGGGAACAAAGCATTACAGATGCTTGGATTGACCACTCTGACCGGCGGTTTCCATTCTTTCTGTATTTTGTGGACCCGATGCCTAGAAGATGGCCCCCATGGATTCATCCGGGACATATTCTGGTTGTCCAGATGCCCATTCCCAACTATGCTGCGATTTTGCTCTCAACTGCCATCACGACACAGGGGCAGGAAGAGTATAATCTTGTGGCTCACTACACTCTCAATCGAATTTCGGCGAGTTCAGCCCGAGCACTTTCAACACTGCAAGAGACACAATCAAATTTCCAGGTAGTTGTGAGAAGAGGCAGACAGATCTTCCCAGCAAAGGGCGCTCCCAGGATTGGAGATGGGGATTTACTCACCATCGAAGCCCGTCCGCCTGACATCGGCCAGGAAGAGGAGACGGTTGGTCTTCTGCAAACTACAATTGAGTTACAAGCGATTGATTGCGAAGACAAACAACGCTCTGGTTTCCACAAGATCCCACTCTTCCTATTGCAGTCGCAACCACCAAATACCAGCCTGAGAAATGACGCTCCTTTGCAAGAAGCACCGCAGTTTATGCGCTCGACTGGCGGTGAGCGTCCAGCTCACACTGATGAGGCTGCACAACAATTTCTTCCGGCAGGACTTTCAGCTCTGCGAGAGGCATTTGGAATGCACGCTGCAGTCGAAGTTGAAGAAGAAGGGCAAGTTGGCTTCGTGGAAACCTGGTTTCTCACTGGTGAGCGAGCATATGTCACTGAAGAGTCACGCACTCTACGCCTTGACGATCAGCACCATGAATGGGAATCTCAGCTGAGGGATCTGTGGCGCGACGTGATTGACCGCGCACAACCAACCCAGTTTTATTGGGTCACTCCAAGACCAGCTGAACTCCCCACTCAAGCCCGACTTGGACATCTGATCGTTGCTCAAGTGCAAACACAAGCAGTAGTCCCAGTACACTTTACCATTCAGTTTGCTGGCCTTGGGCATCAAACGATCAAGTTTGCTGCGGCACTACTCGCCGTCCCTGTCCGGTTTCAAGCTGCCAGAGACTTGCTACAGCTGGCCCGGTTATGCCTCAATCGACGCTGTCGCTTGAAATGGCGTGAACTTGTTTGGAGTGTTGAGGATGCAGTACAGGTTCCAGCTGGCAGTGGTTTAGAATTCCTTCTTGATCGTGTCCAAGATCGAGTTGGAGAGGATGATGTTATCAATCCTGATCTACCAACTACAGATCTCGAGCCACCTGAACCACTTCCACCAGCACATCCACCTCTACATGAACACTCTGCGTTCATTCAAGAACTGCATGACCGCTGGCTTGATTTGGCCATAGCGGGACCAGGTGGCCTTGAGCACATCCTCCGAGTCCAGACTTGGTATCTCGAGGGCGGCTACATCCGACACAACGATGAACAGCGAACAGCAGTCCTTGGTGAAGATTTCTGGGAGTGGGAACGTTCACTTGTGGCAAGATGGAGAGACATGATCAACCCTGATCAAGATGTTGATTTTGTCATTGTGACGCCTGCCCCCATCACCGCTGCAACGCCACATGAGCTCCACATCATTCTTTCACAACAAACAAGAGCCTTTGAATGCCCGAGCCTTGTGACGACGATCGACAATGGAGTGCTACGTGGAGCGCCCTACACGGCAGCAATTCTACTGCCGGCAGCGGTCATGAAGGAGGAGGTTATCCGCCATACTGGCAAGGGGTTCTTCTGCCCACCGCATTGCCCCTCCTCTGTTTGTACCTGCTGGCATGGGCCCATTGAATTACAACCATACCAACGCTTCCCAAATCGTAACGGTTATTCTTTTTTGCTCCATGTGCATCGAAGTTTGCCGGAAAATTTTTGGGCTGATGACTATGATGGATTGGGTTTGCAGAGTGATCCTGCTACAACCTCAAGCTTCTTACAACTTTCTGTGCGACCACAGGGGGAGCGCCAAATAGCCGGGCAGGTGGCTCATACCCGGCAGCCCCCCGAACCTGATCGAAGCCCATCATCCACTTATCAGTACATTGACTTTCATGATTCAATCCAGCGATTTGAGCTGTTTGATGCTCATTTCTTTCTACCCGATTTGGTGTTGCCTGCAATCGAATCTTGGCATGTGGCTTTTGATTGGACCACCGATTGGTGGGACTTTGCCACACCTGGTCAAGAATTGTGGATCTATTATGACGGCTCATGCCAAACTTGGGAGGCAGCTTGTTCTGTCTCTGCTTCTGCTGCAGCCTTCATTCTCATCGGCTCACAATGGTATTTTGCGGGAGCCATCAGCACCAGTTTGCCATTTGCCAAAGACTCGTATGATGCGGAGCACTTTGCCTCGGCCATTAGTCTTAAGCTGGCATATGATGTTTTGAAACTCCATGAAGTGATGCAACAAGGATGTCCACAGATTCACTTCTGCTTTGACTCACTCACTGTTGGCAGCCAAACCAGTGGAATATGGAACTGCTTTCAACACCCAACGCTTGGAGGTGTCCTGCGTAACCTCCACCGTCTGATAGAAACCAGATTCCATTCAGACATTTACCACTGGCACGTCAGAGGACATGCCGGACACCCGGGCAACGAGCTTGTCGATGCACTTGCCGCAGCAGCACATGCCAACCCACCTACATCCACGGCGGATTGGTTACGTGCGCTGAACACCAAAGAATTTTTAGCAGCCTCCGACTGGTTTAGCAACCTGCAATGTGTTGTCATTATGTGGTGCTCGAGACGAACAGGAGGTTGGTATCAGTGGACCGGCCAGGCAGCAGATGCTGCTACAGCAAGCCAGTGAAGAACGCATGACAATTGTTGCGTTCCAGGAAACTCGTCTTCGACGACAACACCAGCTTGTTTCTGCTGACTATCACCTATTCCATCACCCAGCCAACACCAAGGGCCACTTTGGCATCATTTTGGGATTTGCGAAGAAGATCCCATACGCAACGGCAAGCGGCAAGCAGACTGAGAAAGAGCTCCACTTCAGCGAAAAAGATATAGCAGTCATTCATGGAGACCCCAGAGCACTTATCGTGCGGGTGAGTGCTGCGGCCTTGCAATGCATTGTCATCGTTGGCCACGCCCCACATACAGGAAACTCCTGTGATGTGATCCAGGAGTGGTGGACAGAACTTTCTGGCCACATCCCGCGCACCTACGAGAAGTGGCCCAAGATCCTGCTTACCGATGCCAATGCTAGTGTTGGACATCACATCTCTGACCACATTGGAGGGCACCAGTCAGGGTCCTATGAACCGAAAGCAGACCCTTTTGAGAGCTTCCTCGTTGAGCACAACCTGTGGCTGCCTGCCACTTTTCAAGATTTTCAGGAGGGACCAGGTATGACCTGGACACACAGTTCAGGATCAGAGCGACGCATCGATTTTGTGGGGCTTCCACTTGTTTGGACTCCCATCAAATGCAGCGCCTGGATCAGCGACATCATTGATGCTTCCATCTCCAAAACAGATCACCTTGCAGCATGTGCTGAGGTTTCCTTCATTAGCCCGATTCGAGGAAGTCGCAAACTCCCAGTACATCACAAAATCAAACTTGACGACAGCAAGGCGGTGGACTTGTCGCAGCTGATCTCGGCCGAGGATCTACCCTTTCACACCAATGTCCATGACCATGCAGCATTGCTGCAGGAAAGCCTTGTGCGAACAGTCTACTGCCAGCAAGACCGTGCTAAACGCACGCCAGTGAAGAAGACTATGTCAGGGGCGACCTGGCAATTGGTGTTATCAAAGCGTGATCTACGAGCCCAGCTGGCCCAATACACAGCCTGTCAGCGCAAGACGACGCAGGAGCTTTTCTTTGCCTTATGGAGGGGTCGAGAACATTCGCCGCAACCATTGGCATCTGAAGCTATTACAGGTTTTGACACGCTCATGAGCAACCAGGACGTCCTCATTGCCGGTGCACTGGCGGCATTCCGCATTGTGGGACGCCAGGTCACAGCGGCATTGAGACGCGATGACATCGTGTTCTTCCAGAATTTGCTCGCTGAAGGAGCTGACCTTTTAGGCCCTCAAGATGTCAAGCGGTTTTGGTCCATTTTGCGACGCTCACTACCAAAGTTCAAGCAGCGACGACTGCACCTTGCACCGGCTAACATTGAAGCTCTGGAACATCAGATGCTGCCACATCTCTGCCAGCCCGAACAGGGTACAGTTATCACACCAGCTGAACTTCTTTCTGATTGTCATCAGCGGCAACTGACCACGATGAATGAGCTGCAGGGCCAAACAGTTGTGGCCAGCTCCCTGCCATCGCTGTCCAGCTTTGAGACTGCCTTGCGTGCCACAAAGCCGGACAAAGCAACGGGCCTAGACCCAATTCCATCGAGAGTGCACCATGATCAGGCGCCTGTGGTGGCACGATTCTACTATGCTCTCCTCCTGAAGATGCACCTTTGGTGTGTAGAGCCCATACAATTCAAAGGAGGGGTTATGACGCTGATACCCAAGAGAGGCGACCCAAAGGTTGCAGCCAACTACAGGGGAATCCTCCTGCTCACCTCAGTGGCCAAGCGCTTCCATAGCCTTCTGCGAAGCTCTCTCATGAATACGCTGAGCCCCAAACGAGCAGAAGGGCAATTGGGAGGATTCTCCAAACAGATGGTTCATTTTGGATTTCATGCCATTACCACGTGGACCCATGTTCTTGAGACGCACGGATACAGCACAGCTGTCTTGTACATTGATCTTGCCAGCGCATTTCATCATTTGGTGAGAGAACTTGTCCTTGGTGTGGCCTGTGAAGCTGACTTCACCCATTTGCTTGCGGCTCTTGCGGAAGCCGGACATCCCCTCCAAGCCCAAGAAGCAGGCCTGCGAATTGTGGGGGTTCTACAAGCATTGGGTTGTGATGATCGTCTTCTAAGAATTTTGCGTGACGTGCACACAGACACATGGTTCACGATCACACAGCAGGAAGCCGTCCGGACTACTCGGGGCACACGCCCAGGTTCCCCGTTAGCGGACGCGGTTTTTCATGTCATCATGACGCACATCATCCAGGATGTGCGCTCTTGGTTAGCCGACCATGATGTTTTCATGAAGATTTTGACCGAGTTCCAGCTGCCGCTCTTGACGATTGTTTGGGCTGATGATGTTGCCATTCCTTTGGCGGCATCATGTGCGGCGGATCTGTTGCCAGCCGTGCAAGCACTTGTTCAGATGGTTGACTCCTGCTTTTCAGCCAATGGGTTTACAGTCAACTATGGGCTTAACAAGACGAACGTTGTGTTGAGCTTTCAAGGACCACAAGCCCCAGATCATAGACGGCAATTTCTTTTGAAAGAGCGGCCAGGATTTGAGTGCCCTCTGGCAAATGGAAGCTCCGTCTGGCTGCACTGTCAGCCTTACTACAAGCATCTGGGTTTCACCTATGCGGCTTCTCAGTCCATTGAGGTCGAGATCAGACAACGTATTGGACAAGCCAAACAGGCGATGACCATGCTGGGCAGGAGTATCCTCACCAACAAACATTTCCCCACTGACCTTCGATTACGATTATTTCGTGTGTTTGTGGAAACGCGCCTTTTCTATGGCCTGGGAACATGGAGAACCCCCACTCTGAAGCAAATGCAGCTGTTGAGGACAACATACATCAGTATGCTGAAGCGCGTTCTGCGACAGAGAGGAGATGTACCCTGCACCAATGGGCAGATTCTGAGGAGAGCTGGAACCCTGGATGTCCGCCAGCTTCTGGCTCTGGACCGATTGCGGTATGCACGCAAGCTTTTTTGCGACGGTCCGGAATTCCTTCAGACCCTGATGCACGGGGAGTTCCAGTACAGCAAGGATTCATGGTTGCACGGCTTGGCAGAAGATCTACGTTGGGCAAACACTCTTGCGCCTGATCGGCTACCAACTTTAGAGAGCTCAGATTTCACCAACATCATTGACTTCTGGCAGAAACCGTGCACTCCATGGAAGCGCATTTTGCGGCACATCAAACGCATGGCCTCCACACAGGAGCATATGATGAGTGATCTTCAAGTCTTGCATTCACAATTTTTCACCACTTTGAGGCGTGCCGGCGCGGAGTTCAACCCGGACTTTGGCATCGATGGTGAATCAACAAGGACGGAGGTCCACAAGTGTCCATGTGGAAGGCAATTTGACACTCCACAAGGCCTTGCACTCCACCGAGTGCGTGCGCATCAGCTTTACGCACCGGAACATGCAATGACCTGCGGAGCCACTTGTCCCAACTGCATGCGCTTCTATTGGTCAAGCGCAAGGCTCCAGCAACACCTGGCGTATATACCAAGGGGAGGAGGAGTCAATCAATGCTATCAAGCGTTGCTCGACAAGGGCTTTAGAGGAGGCTACCAGATAGCCATGGTTGCACGACCCTTACGAGGAGCACTCCGCCTGGATTCCTTGCAAGCGGCTGGCCCTCGATATGAAGGTCCAACTCAGAACGCTTGTCAAGAGGCGCAAGTCAGAGCAGAGATCCTAGCGCTTGAGGAAGAGTTGCTACTCCCAGCTGTGCCAACGGATCATCTTGCACAAGGTCAGCTCCTCAGTGACAAGCTCTCCCAATGCACCTACATCTGGATCGACAAGTTCAGAGGAGGACGTAGTGCTGATGCACCCATGAATGATCTGGGTGACTGGTGGATGCGCCTGCTCTTCACCTTTGACGAGCGGTTTGAACCGTGGACTGAGCTGGTGTTTCTGTCGTGGGGGCAACATGTTTTGCCAGACCTCCTGGCGAATGTCATGGATGGAGACATCGAGATTGCTATTGAGGAGGTGTACTATGACATCTACAAGGTGCTCCCACGAACAGAGACCCTTGATCGAATAGCATTTCTCAAGCAGAAGCTCAACCACATTGAGACAGAAGCACAGGCTGCACCTGCTCCGCACCGACCAGTGCGAGAAGGCACAGCCAACCCCCGTGAGAGACGGGCCACTCAGCAGAAGGTCCCTTCGCTGTTTCATGAACAGGCTGACTGGCTCCGAGCGATCAGACAAATGCAGTGGAGGACTCTCCCGGATGAGGTCACGACACCGATTTATCAGACGCTGGCCGGGAGGAAACATTTCCTGATCGTGCACATCTTCTCTGGAAGAAGGAGGCAAGGAGATGTACACCAATGCATCGCTTTGTGGGCTCAGCAACGCAACGTGGACGTCACCATTTTGTCCATGGATACAGCCGTTTCAGTGACGTACGGTAATTTATCCTGCCAGTCGACATCATGGAGCCAACTGCTTCGGTGCTACGAGAATGGGTGGGTGTCGGCCACTTTGGCCGGCACCCCTTGTGAAACCTTCAATGAAGCCAGATTCCAGCCTTTACAGGAAGATGTGGGAGGACTACAGGTCAAACAGCCCCGCCCATTGCGATCAAGGGACCGCTTATTGGGCTTGCCGGCTCTTTCCAAGCGTGAAATTGAGCAGCTATGGGTTGGATCCAGCTTCTTCCTTCAAGGCACATTCCTCCTTGCGCTCCAGCTGGTGAAGGGCGGCTTCTTTGTCAGCGAGCACCCAGCCCCACCGAAGGACGAGACGCGCCCATCAATCTGGACTTCGCCTTGGATGGAACTCATGCGGAAGCATCCAGATGTGGCACTACACGTGGTGCCCCAATGGCCTTTCGGAGCTAGCGTGCCAAAACCGACTGGCCTTTTAGCACTGCGCCTGCCGACCTTCATCGCGTCCCTCTACCAGCAGGCTGATCGCTCTTTGGCGCGGCCCACAGAGGTCGCAATCGGTAGGCATGCGGATGGCTCCTTCCGCACAAGCCGGCACAAGGAATACCCAGCACGTTTTTGTGCGGGACTGGCACAGGTGATCACTGACCAGCTAGATGTCAGCCTACGTACAGGCCGCTTTCATCACGCGGCACAGGCAGCTGACTGCACAGAGCTCCATAGTTGGATCCGCGAGGCACGACAAGCGTGCGAAGCCATACGTGAAGGGACGTGTTGGCTGCCAGATTTTCAACGGGAGCACTAGCTGGTGAGTTTTTGTTAATTTGTAATTCGGAATTGCAGTTGTAGCAGCAAGGGATAGACCCTTTTATGCGTGAAATGAAATGAAAATGAAATGTTTTTTTTTGGATTTGTTTTTTATATTATTTTGCTGGTTTCCAAAAAAAATGAAGCATTTTGCGTCATAAAGATAAGCTTGCACACACAGAGGCTTTTACACAGAGAAGCCTTTTACACAGAGCAGCTTTTGCACAGAGTAGCCTTTACATGGGAAATCTTGTACGCGCAGAGGCTTTGACACAGAGAAGTCTTTTACACGGAGCAGCTTTTACACAGAGTAGCTTTTACATGGGAAATCTTGTACACGCAGAGGCTTTGACACAGAGAAGTCTTTACACAGAGGAGCTTTTACACAGAGAAGCTTGTACGCACAGATGGGCTTTTACACACAGATGCTTTTACACAAAGAAACTTTTCCACAGAGCAGCTTTTACACACAGAAACGTTTACACAAAGAGGAGCTTTACACGCAGAAGCTTTTACACACAGAAGCTTTTACACGGGAAAGCATTTACACAGAGAAGCTCTTACACACAGAAGCTTTTACACAAAAAAGCGTTTACACAGAAACTCTTACACGCAGAAGCTTTTACACACAGAGGGTCACAGACGCGTTTACACAGGAGTGTTTACACACGGATGCGTTTACACACTGAAGCCTCCACGCACAGAAGCTTTTACGCAGAGTAGCTTTTGCACAGAGAAGTCTTTACACGGAGAAGTCTTGACACAGACAAGCTTGTACACACAGAGGCTTTTACAGAAAGAAGTCTTTTACACAGATAAGTCTTTACACAGAGGAGTTACATAAAGGAGATTTACGCACAGGAACTTTTACGCACGGACGCGTTTACACACAGGAAGTTTTACACACAGAAGCGTTTACAGCGCAGTGAAACTTTTACACGGAGCAGCTTTTACACACAGAAGCTTTTACACAAAAATGCTTTTACACAAAGAAGTTTTTACACACAGAGGCTTTTGCACAAGGAAGCTTTTACACAGGAAAGCTTTTACACACAGAAGCTTTTACACAGAGAAGATATTTTCACCGAGAAGTCTCACACAGAGGAGCTTTTACGCACAGACGGGTTTGCAGAGATAAGTCTTTACACACAGGAGTTTTTGCACACACAATTTTTACACAAACATTCTTTACACAGAAAAAATTACACAGAAACTTTGACACACAGACGCGTTTACACAGAGGAGTCTTGACACAAGGATGTGTTTACACACAGAAGCCTTTACGCATAGAAGTTTTTTTGCACAGAGTAGCTTTTCCACAGAGAAGTGTTTACACAGAGAAGTCTTGACACAGAAAAGCCTGTACACACAGAGGCTTTTACAGAGAGAAGCCTTTTATACAGAGAAGTCTTGAGACAGAGGAGCTTTCACACAGAGAAGTCCTTACACAAAGGAGATTTACACACAGAAGCTTTTACACACAGACGCGTTTACACACAGAAGGTTTTACAAATAGAGGCTCTTACGGCGCACAGAAACTTTTACACAGAGCAGCTTTTACACACAGAAGCTTTTACACAAAAAAGCCTTTACACAGAGAAGTTTTTACACACAGGAGCTTTCGCACAAGGAAACTTTTACACAGGAAAGCGTTTACACACAGCAGCTTTCACACACAGAAGCTTTTTACACCGAGAAGTCTTACACAGAGGAGCTTTTACGCACAGACGCATTTACACAGAGAAGCCTTTACACAGAGGAGCTTTTGCACACAGAAGCCTTTTACGCACAGAACCTTTTGCACAGAGTAGCTTTTACACCGAGGAGTCTTACACAGAGGAGCTTTTACACACAGACGCGTTTACACAGAGAAGTCTATACACAGAGGAGCTTTTGCACACAGAAGCCTTTTACGCACAGAACCTTTTGCACAGAGTAGCTTTTACACCGAGGAGTCTTACACAGAGGAGCTTTTACGCACAGACGCGTTTACACAGAGAAGTCTTTTCACAGAGGAGCTTTTGCACACAGCATCTTGTATACACAGACGCGTTCACACACAGAAGGTTTTACAAACAGACAGACAACTTTACGGCGCACAGAACTTTTACATAGAGCATCTTTTACGCAGCGAAGCTTGTACACACACAGGAGCTTTTATACACAGAAGCTTTTACACAAATATTTTTTAATACACAGAAGCTTTTACACATAGATTTTTACACTCAGAAGCTTTTACACACACAGAAGCTTTTACACAAAAAAGCCTTTATACGCAGAGGAGCTTTTACACACAGACGGGAGAGAAATCTTTTCACAAAGAAGTCTTGACACAGAGAAGCTTGCACACACAGAGGCTTTTACACAGAGAAACCTTTTACACAGAGCAGCTTTTTCACAGAGGAGCTTTTACACAGAGGAACTTTTTCACAGAGAAGCTTATACACTCAGAGGCTTTGACACAGAGAAGCTTGTACGCACAGATGGGCTTTTACACACAGAATCTTTTACACAAAAAACACCTTAACAGAGGAGCTTTTACACACAGAAGCTGAAGCGCAAAGAAACTTTCACATACAGAAACTCTTACACACAGAGGACGTTTTACATAGAAGCTTTTACACACAGAAGCTTTTACACAAAGAAGCCTTTACACAGAGAATTTTTACCCACAGAAGCTTTTACATACAGAACTTTTACGCAAAGAAACTTTTACACACAGAAACTTTTACACACAGATTCTTTTCACAAAAAGCCTGTACAATCCTTCACACAGAGGACTTTTACACAAAGAAACTTGTTCGCACGGACGCTTTTACACACAGTAGCTTTTATGCATAGAAGTTTTTGTGTCATGTCTCATTTTTCATGATCTTTCACCATCTGTCATCTTCATATCTTCCTTTTCATGCTCTTTTGGTCAACTCCCTCCGTCGTTTAGTTTTCATTTCGCACGGTGTTCTGTCCGTCCAAGTTTCGTCCTCGCTCTGCGGCGACAAACTAAACAAGAACCCAGGCATAAATAGCGACTAGAACGATGGGATAGAGTTAGTTACATCAGCAGAAATAACGACTAGAAGAATGTAGACGTAGCTGGCACAGCATGCTGTGGTGAATTGTGGCCCCTGATACCATCAGTGTGCACGATGTTTCAGTAAAGATCTTCTGTCGATTTCGCGCAGAGTACAGCTGCCCACACCACAAGATCTTTTAAACAACGAGTGCTGTGCTGTGTGCCGTCTTGCTTTTGGGTTCTCCGGCCGCCTTGTTTCTACGTTCTGACATTTTTCTTCTTGAAGTTTTGCTACAAATTTTGGAACCTGATACTGCACGATACTTTCTTGTCCCCCCCAAAAACTGATGCTTCCCGCTTCTTTCACCGCCCAAGGACTCTGAGCAGCTGGCTAAAAATGCCGCGGCTCGTCTCACCCGCTCCCGAATGGTGGTGTTGCCCTTGATCAAAACTGAGTCTCCAAGAATTTGGAGGTAAAAAACGCGTCACAGTGTGCAAAATTGTGATATTCAACATTTGATTTGACCATTTTGAAGTCATAAGTCCTCAAAGCACGACGTTACTGACGTTTTTGAACTTGACCGACTTGATCAGATCATTTGCTGTACCAAGGCCGGACGGACGACTCTCCATGCAAAGCACCATGGTTTTCTCAGGTGCTTTGCCATAGCTTTGCACTTGACAAATCACTGTAACTTCCGCGCGTAGGGGAGTAACGAATGTCATAGTCATTGTCGTGTCATTTCTTATCCGAGATTTTGATTGCACAGATGCCGATGCTGAATCTCCACGAGTTGTGAAGGCAGACCCTTGACTCTTGCCAGCTTTCTGCAATGCTGATGGTGAGAAGACACACTTCATGGGATTTGATTCCTTGACACGAGTGTGGTGTCACTGTGATTCAATGTGCACAAGGGGAAAACCGGGTGAAGGGCGGCAGTGAGTACAATGAGTAGTGCAGCTTCAGTCTGAGTGTCCTTTGGTTGCTTTTTGTTTAAGTCTACTTTCGACTTTCCTTTTTCCATTCTGTGGTGCAGGTAGACATGGACGGTTCCGCAGACGATTGGCAGGTCCCAGCCTGAAGCAATGTGGACAAATCGTCCTGGGTTTTTCTTCGTTAGCGCCTTACAGTTTCAGTAAAGTCAGAAACCCAGGCGCTAACGAAGAACGTGGCTCACGCCTTCCTGTCCGACGATACCATAGCTGCCTTTTCTCTCGTAGTTTGAGCCTCGAGTAATTTGAGTTCGAGGGAGTGCTCATCTCCCATGACTCTTATGACATTTTGTGTCCAGATTGTCTAGTGAGCCCTGAACATTCTCATCCAATTGTTCTTTGATCGACGTGGGAATGCTCTCGGCTTCCGCCTTGAGGATGGGCAAGAGCCTCACAGTAGAGCGAGGAGTCACGGCTTGGCTGATGACACAGATGACACGGAGGCGCTTCCTTCAGGTTGATTGTGAATCACTGTGATATGTTGTCACGTGTATAGCCTGTATAGCATATTTTTGAATATATTTTGTTTCACATAAATATATTGTCATGTCATGTATGAATACTATGAACATCTATGACATATAGATAGTGTTTCTCTTAAAACTCAAAGAACTTCTTGACACGCAAAGCCACGCCAACTCCCCAGCCCAGGAGGATCCGGGATCTGACAATGGTGCTGCAAGTGAGGTCCGGACATCAGATCTTTGTATCACCGGCGATCGGCCCATTGTGTGTCTGAAAATGGGGATGGCCCCAAATGGCAATTTCAAACAGGATAATGATTCAATGGATTTAGGGCCAATTTAGGTTTACTGTATCTTATTTTAAGACAAACCCAGTTGGTCTATGACATGACCTTTCCCAAGCAAGGCATTGGCAGCAATCGGAGCTGCTGATCGGATTCCAGTCAGCGACGTAGATGGCTCTGGCAGACTCCCTGGCCCACTTGGAAAGCTTGCAGCTGCATTGTAGCTTTCCAGCAAGTTGAATAGAATTCACTCCTGCCACTCGGGGGTCCAAAGTATCTCCTGCCAGGAACAGCTTACAGAGGTCGTGTTTGTGGATATTTGGCCAATCGTGAGGGTCTCAGTACTGTAAATGTTGGAAGCTTCTGGAGACACCGCGATATACTAACAGGTAAGGTCGCTTGGATGTGATGATTTTCGAATTTGCATTTCATGCAGGTAATGGATTGCTCGTCGACATCAACTGTGAGTTTCCTGCGTGCGCTGCCAAGTGTGGCTTCCAAACGTCCATGCTGTCCAGCAGTTTCAGTCACTCAGGTTTTGGTATCCTGAACATGCCAGCTGCCTATGGGATCCTATTGGGCGTTGAGGTGTGAATTCCTAACTTTTCAGCTGCATCGCCGCTGTCAAGGCGTCCTCGTCCTCCTCTTCGCCGGAGCATTCGGACTGGGAGGCCATTAGAAAGCACGGCATAGCGAAGCGATGCTAAGCCACCAAGCCAAGTTGGTGAGTTTCTGCGACAGCGACATGACAGGAGTTGTGGCCCCTCGGTAGCGACGTTGAGGTGCCTTCCATTGCCTTCCTGTTCCCAGCGGCACTATGTCGCACCGCCTCGTCTCACATCGTCTCACCGTTGTCCTTCCCTGTCCGTAGGTCTATTGCTGTGCGAAACATGCATGGTTTCTCCGCCGCGGCCTCGGACAGATTTGATACCACTGATGCTTACCCGATCTTACCCGAGTGGCAAACCACATTACGACATAGCACAAATCTATTAGTCCATATTAGTCCTATCATTTCAATTCATTTCATATATTTTTAATTATTCTTATCATTTCTCATCCATTAGTCCTGAAAGACCTTTCGCATAAGATGTGGGATCCCGTTCGCAAGCCCTGTCCACGTGGCCCAGACGTCTGAATCCAAAGTCTTTCAGGTGTGGTGGCTGAGCCACCACTGCGGTGGTGGACTCAGATTCCATTTAGCACAGGACAGGCAACCGTGGCAACCTGTAGATCCCATGCGGCGCAGCACTTTGCTCCTGAGGTTGCCAGTGCGCGGTGGGATCCCTCGTCTGAAGCTAGAACAGCCAAAAACTTATTGAGAGTAAAATGAGGAAAGAAAGTTTGCCCCAAAATCTGGCCTTTTACAGGCTTTTCTTTGGTTCCTGATGCGTTTTTTTACCGAAGCCAGCCAAAGGCTTGGCTGCGTACAAAATCCCGGAAAAAGGTGGTGATTAGGATGTGCCTTTTGGTCTTTTTTGCGTGTCATGTACCATGACGCAAATGTGTGACGGTGGGGTATCGACTCCCCCCATGTCGACAGTTCGTGGCTTTGAAAAACGATGCAATCCGTGCTGACACGCATTTCTGTAGATACCCAAGTTGCCTACAAGAAACGCAAGTATGATAGGATCAAGTGGACGGAGTGATGCATCGAGGTGTCGTTTCGCTGTCATTTGGGCCACCGAGCTACAGAATGTTCGCGTCGAGTTGTGCTTGTTTTTTTTGAACCTCTTGTCATTAGCGTGCCGGAAAATTATGTCTAAAAAAATGGTTCTCGAAACGGCAGCCTAAAATGTCTAAATAATTTGTTTCCGAAATGGAAGCTAAACTGGTTCCCGAAGTGCTGCTTAAAAATTGGTTCCCAAAATGGAAGCCTAAAATGTCTAACAGCTGGTTCCGAAATGGAAGCTTAAAATGTCTAAGAAAATGGTGCCCAAATGGACGCTAAACATCTCGATCCTCAACTTTATGTTTTTTTCCTTGGTAAGAGATCAAAATATACCGGTCATCAATGACGGTTGATAAGGTGGAACAGGGGGTTAGTACTTCTTGATCAAACTCCTGGTTTGCTTCTTGTGCGGGAGTGCAGTTCGGAAACTGAGCAATAGATTCACATGCCACGGTCCGGTTGGTTCTGGCCTATGCTTCAGCCTAAAATGTCCGATAGATAGATAGATAGATAGATAGACAGATAGACAGACAGACAGATAGACAGACAGACAGACACATAGATAGATAGATAGATACCATTCGGGTCAGGGGTACAGAGGGAAAGTGCGTCCATGAAACCCAAACAGATAGATTGATATTGCGAGGCAGATTGACAGATAGACAGAACAACAGATTGATAAACAGGGGGACCAAAAGATAGATGGACAAGCTAGGCAGATAGACAGATATCTAGCTAGACAGATATATGGGGTGAAAAGTCTGTAGGCGAAACGTCTCTGGGTGAAAAGTCCACGGGTGAAAAATATATGGGTGATGGGTCTGTGCCTAAAGACTCTGTGGGTGAAGGGCATGTGAGTGCAACGTGTCTGGATGTGAAACGTCTGCGAGTGACAACTCTGTGAATGAAAAATTGTGGTTGAAAAGTCTGTGAGCGAAACATCAGTGGGTGAAAAGGCGTTGGGTGAAGGGCCTGTGGGTGAAGGGTCTCTGGGTGAAAAGTGTGTTAGTGAAACGTATGTGGTTAGGCTCGCGAGAGACATACGGTCAGCATGGATGCTGGCTTTCGTTCCCCCATTCTCAGGTAGATGAACATTGATGTGCAATCTTCTATTCTTCAGATGGTAGTTTTCGAGAATCTTCTTGACTCAAGATTTGGCTTGCATGGATCCTACATTTTGGTCTCCACCACACGATTCGACTGATGAGGCTTCAGCCTGGGCAGGGTCCATGGCGCTTGACGCTGAGAATTGAGCTGCATTGATATCTCAGCAACCTTGCTGCGGGCATCAACTGTCGCTAAGGAGCAGTTGTGATTTCTTCAACGCGTGATGGCACGCTAGGGAGCCAAGAAAGCGCCGCAGAAGAGGAACTGTTTCTAGGATTTTTGAGACAGTTGTACTTGAACTTAGAGACTTTCCAGTGCTGGTGAGTGCTTAATTTCTTTGCACTGCAGCCAGGTTGGTGGACTTCAACTGTGAAATGCCTGGCCAGACACCTCATATCAACCAGTTCGCCCTTTGATGTTGTTTCCCTGCAAAACTACCTGAACGGCACGAGACCCTTCAAATTTCCGAAGGCACTATGGTTCTCTGCTGGATCTTGCAACCAGCGGTTAATCTGCCACTATTTTGCGCTGTCTGGACTGAAAGGAACATTCCAATCCTTCCAAGCCTTATCTATTTTGCCTGGATCGCACGACCATTACTGTAATATAAGCAGGTCCTCGTCACATTGGATGCAACCCAAATGCTCCAGTTGCAGCCCACAGCAAGTCGAAGATATTTTGTGCCACTAGAATCTAGAACTCATTTCGAATACTGTATACATAATTAATCAATGTATATAGATATGTAATATGTAGATGCACAATATCACTGGAACAAACAGACAAAATTTGCCCACCACAAGTGCAGAAAGCAGAATCGCTCAGAACATGGTCAAGAAAATCAGTTCGAGGTCTGCTTCAGTCTGATCGTTTTTATGTGCGGGGAGAAGAAGCTCGCGTGCCTGCCCCAGACCAAAATGGGAACGACTCATGTTCGGCGTGGAAAGCAGGTTTGGCTCTTAGAGAGTAGACTTGTTTCACGTGAAACATTGTGAAACCATTGAACGTCATGTAACACAGTGAGAGTGAATCCAAAGGTGTACTGCATGAAAGTGGTGCGTTGCTTAGAATTGCTCGATATTGTTTGCTCTTTGGCTGAGAGTGGCACGGTTCTTGGTGCTCTAAAGTCTGCCGAAGTGCCCGAGCAACACTGAAGTAAGATATAGTGAAGTGAACCACTGTCATATTTGCATTGACTTACACAGCACTACGATCTGTCGACATCTCAGTTTGCAAGGACAAGGAGAACAGAGTCTGCGTCGTAAGCACAGCAAAGGACTGCCAAGAAGCACTTCGCTGTATTTGATAAAGTTCACTTTTGATAGACCTTGACCTTCTGCTTTCAATTTTCTCCTTGAACTCAGAGATCCTTCAAACATGTTCCTTTGCCTTCAAAAGGCGACCGGGTTTTATCAAAGAGAGCTAAAGGATGAGGCAGAAATACCATCAAGACACATTGCCATGAACTCGGAGCCAAAGTGTCTTCGCAGATTTTGCAGGAGCTATTAACCTCGGTTCACGAAAGGAGGCGCAAAGAGTTGAGTGGTGAAGGTAGTGACTTCGGCCCATGTTGACTTGCTTCCAGAGTCACAGAAAGGGAACTGAAGGGAAACATTGGCAGGAAGTTGGAGGATTTAGCCTCAGAGGACAACTCAACGGGTTTGCGAGGCACCGTCAGAAGCTTGGAGGATTGGACTTTGTCGTCGAAATGGAGTCGTTCCGATTCCATCTGAAATCTTGGTCAATGTGCCTGGCCAAGGTCTTGAACGTGACCGGGAATGGAGTTTTCATCGATGTGAATTGCGAGGCCAGATGAAACAGCGAGAGCTGCACAAGCTGCACAAGCACAAGTCAAACAAAAGTGCTGACATGATTTTTCAGTTAACATTTGACCACAAAGACGCAATCAACCTGGAAAAATTGACGGCGTGATAGTTGCGCTGCAGAGGTTAGAGGCTATGTATCGCCCATGGATATTGACCTCAACGCGTCACCGAATGGCCTGTACAAAGGCTTTGAGGCCGGTCAGAGGATGCTGTGGCACAACCGGAACTTTTGAATCCCAGTGCCATGGTAGGTGACCGTGTACATCAAATCTGTGCACTTGGAGAAACGACAAGTGCGGCTTCAAACTCAGTCCAAATCTTGCCAACCCAAGCTTCACAAGTGTCAGTTTCTGGACCTGATTGAAACTCAAACATTTGTTTGAAGTTTCAACCAAGCAAAACAAAATCTGGTCATCGCCATCGCCGATTCACCGCACAAAAGCTCAGGTTGTCAATGTTTCCCACGCGTGAGCCTGTCAAAATTCTTGGATTGAAGCAGACTGCCTGGTACTCAGAGCATCTCACAGCTCTGACTTTTGCTCAGACATTGGATGACATTGGATTGATAGGCTGGGCTGTGTTCTGTCTTTGTTCTGGTTTTTGGTTTAGTCAAGCTGAAGCAGCATGTTCAGCATGTTCTACTTTTTGTATGACCTGCCAACTGCCTGAGGAAGGTCTCCATTGATGGAGCAGGCTTCTGCTCAATGGAACCAAGCAAAAAGTCCGTGCACACATTTGGGAGGGCAAGGTTGCGCACTTTTAGCTGCTTATTCACCGCTTATGATCAAATCTTTTAAGAACGTAGATACACAAGCGATGGGTCTTGAGTGATAGCCAGGCCTTTCAGTGCAGTGAATGGCAGCTGTCTCTTTGCAATCAAAAGAGAAACCCAGGGTTGGTTCACATGGCTGCCCACATATTCATCTAAAAACACAGCGAAACACACCAGCTACCCAGCACGATCAAGCGGTTAAAGATGAGAGACCACTTGCGGGTGCAAGGTTGGAAAGAGTCTGTGAAACTCAAACTGTGGCGGAAAATTGCTGCTTTGGATTTCCAGTACGTGGCTGAATTAACACGACAGGAGGACATCTTACAGCATCTTTCCAGTGTCCAATGTTGCATCCTTCTGCACGTACAGAGATGTCTAAACACTCAATACAGCTGCCCCTCAATAAACAAATCAGATGTGCAATGGAGTCTTCATTCTTCTCGCAACCGCCAATTGCGTGACCTCTGTGGCAATGCAATGCAATGCATGTGGTCCATACGCGCGTCAGTTTCTTCCGATTGTAAAACATTCTTTTTCGGCTTAGCTGTCTTTAGGTTGAGAATGCTGAGAACACTGATCCATTGCAACTATTGCTCTTTGGAACTTAGAAGCTCGCATCTGCCCACACAAGTGGAGTCATGAACCCATGAACCTCGTGGCTCACTTGTGACTTTGTGGTAGGTACTTCCAGACTTTGCAGTCACCATGTGCACGTGGCTGAGTGGTGCAGTGTTGAGCGTTGTTAGAGGATCGACAGGTCAATCAGAGACCATTTGAGCCGCGGCTGTGAAGGCACCTTCCTTCATCTCTTGCGACCGGACACCATATGAGGACAGATTGGAAGGTTACAGGAAAACACCACTGGATTGGTTCAAGCCAATGTACCAGCAAATTAATGCTGGACATTGGCTTGAAACATCTTGAAACCACTTTCAGGACTTCGGATCAAAGTATGAGAGCATCTCCTCGAAGGCTTGACAGACCTCATCCTCATTTCTGTGCCGAATGTCGCCTTCTACCGATGTTTGAAGGTCTGCGGTTGGGCTGGCGAATTGGGAAAGGACGTGGTTTCTTGCACTGCTCAGTCTTTACGTGGCTATGTCATGCTATGTCCAGTTCCAGCATCCTTACTATTTTGCAGGACCATGACCTGAGGCAGGCTGCGCACTGTACATGGCTCTCGCAGACGACTCCATTTGAGGCCAACGTTCCAGCATTTGCTCACTTTCCTCTTTGTTCATATATTTATTCAATTTATAATTTATACCAATTTATTCATCTTGTGTTTGTAGGCATCACCTTCAGACCTTATAACTTATAACCCTAGAGCGGTTTCAGAGCTAGACCGCTACCGGGTTAACCCGCTAGGTCAGCACGGAGCTTCCCAGCAGTGCCTTGATTCCGACTGCGCAACGACAGCCTCGTCGGGGTCTCATCGGTCGACCTGGGAATGGCAAGTGCTGGAGAAGTGTGGAGAAGTGCGGAGAAGTGTGGAAAAGTTCTAGCTTCGCTATCCTCGCTTCAGGTGTGGATTTTGTAAGCAGCGCTACTGCCATGAAGAGCATTTTCCGAGCCTCTTTTGATACGGACTGATGCTTCTGGGTCCATAGTGGCCGTACAGGGTGACTTGGGAGTGTGAGCGCTTGCACATTTTCATCTGCAGGAATCAGATGTTGGTGTCGCCGTTCATCGACTGGGTGACTGGCCAGGGTCTTGAAGTGCCTCTGGCAGTGCCTCCACCTTGGAAAGAACACATCAAACGCATCCCTTCTGATGGCAGTGGATTTGAGGCTTGTCATAGATGATGGAAGCGAGCTATCGTGGTGCCCGCACCAGAATGGACCAGACCAGGATTTGTGGGTTAGTGCCCCAGATGGACTTGTCAAGTTGTTAGCCAAGCATTCAACTAGAGAAAGGTAATGCAGATTGAGGACAGTTCATGATGCTGCTGTTTAATGCTGATTATTGGCTCAGAACGCAGACTCCCCTGGACCCAACAGAGATAGTCTCTGACAGCTCCGTTCGCAAAATCTTGGTGAAGTTGGCATCATAAACCGCAAACTAGCTGATTACCTTCAAGGTTTCAAGTTTCGAGGTCCTTGGGAAAGAAAGGGTCAATGAGTCATGTCCTTTTTCTGATAAGCTACTGCCCATACACAATTTACATCAATTTGCACAATTTTCCTCCCTGGCGCCATGCGTGGTCGAGACTTCCATGGAGAAATCCAGCCACATGGTGACAGCATCCAATGACCGAACAGCTTCCGTTTGGGACATTACAACCGGAGAGGCAGTGGCAACTTTGACCCATGATCTTGAAGTAAATAGTGCTGTATTTGATCCATCTGGCATGGTGGTGGTTACTGCATCTCAAGACCGATCAGCAAAACTTTGGGATGCCACTTCGGGTGAGGCGCAGGGCCGTCAAAATGAGCACCAAAGCTGGATGATTTGCGGATCTTTGTTGGATCGTTGAATGCTCCTCCAAATATGAAATGTTTTCAATTTTCAGTAGTATTGGATGGTATTGGCTTGACCAGGTGTTAACTCAAATCGCCCACGGCCATTCTGTCTATGCCGGCCTTCGATGCATTTGGTGCCCTCTTTGTCACAGCTTTGGACGACAAAACTGCAGCGGTATGGGATGCAACAATTGGGATCAACATGACCACAGTACGGCACGAGCACGCGATTTACAATGCTTTTGAGATTTCGGGTACACGTTTTGTGCTTCAAGGGACGGCTCTGGTGTTTGGGATGCATCTACTGGGGCCAAGCTCACAATGAAGCACCGTGACAGGTGCATGACTGCCACATTTGATACATCCGGCCGTAGAGTTGTCAGCTTCATTCGACAAGAGCTCCATAGTGTGGGATGTGGCAAGTGGGGACAAGATTTTCACCGCAAAACATACTATATAATCTGGTGTTTTGTGGTGCTTTTGACACACTTGCCACTCGCATCGTCACTGGGGGGGGCGATCGTGCAGCAAAGGTTTGGGATCTGAGCAGTAACAAAGGACCAGTAGCGACATAAGGACCGCGTCTACAAAGCTGCCTTCGATCCCACAGCTTCCCGGGTCACAGCAGCTGACAGTTCTGGGGTTTGGGATGTGGCCTTTGTGCGCCACTGACTGCAAAGCATGGCCGGGCTGTGCTGGATGTTTCGTTTGATCTGGATCTTTGGTCTGAGGATGGCACAGCTGGGAGGTGGCACTGGAGAGCGTTTGTTTTCAGTGGGCAACAAGGCAACCGTGCACAGTGTTGCATTCAACTGAGGTGAACTGAGGCTATGCGGCTATTGGCGGCAATTGCTTTCTCTGAGGGGTTCCTTTTGCTCAACTCTCAAATGGGTGTGGCGGCAATGTTGTGCATCCCTCCCTGCAAGCAGGATGGGAAAAAAGTCGTGAGTTATTTGCATGTGGGTGGTCAGATGGAACAAGCATGAACAAGCTACATACAGAGATGTCAGTCTTGTTAAGGACATACATTCATATACATACATACCGTCCAATTTTGCCTGTATGGCGCGGGTTCGATTTGGGCTTGGTGGCAACCATGGCTGAAGCCGTTGCTTGAAAATTCAAGGAGATGAGTACGTGTCTGTCGCATACAGAAACGAGTTACTGTTGATATGGGGTTGTTTTCCACCAGAAGGAACGATCATCCAAGCGTGGATAGTGAACATAAAGAACTAAATTTCAAGGCATCCTTTTGCACTACAAAAACCAACCAATTATGGCCAAAATATTGATATCCAGGCTACCGGATTGTAGACGTCCACCCCAATGGCACTCAAAACATCCAGCCATTGCTGGATATTCCAACGATTAATGAAGGTGAGTGGTGGATGTTGAAAAAAATGTGGATGTGGTAATTGACATTTTTTCAACAGGATTTATGATTTTATCACCCAAACGGTCATGCCGCAAAAAACTATTGATTGGAGATGTAGATGTTTTGCTTTGAATTCACGTGGATGACTGATGTTTGATTAATGATGAGTTGGTAGGTTGAGCGGGGTCTTTGAAATGTGAGAAACTCCCTACCCTTCTTTGAAAATCTTTCGGATCCAACGTCACAAACTCATGCTATTCCGGTACTTGAGACGACAAATCTTGTGGAATTTCATCCGCCTAGGCAGAACGGGTCAGGGATGCTGAGCAACACCATCGTGCTTGTTTGGCGAAAGTGGAGGAGACCACCAAGCTGCTGTTACCCCGGTGGTATGAAATATATTGAAATATCACCGCCAAGATTTGTTTCCAGGATTCTATTCAATACTATGCATATACTATGTATTCGATTCAAGGGTATGCATGTGTGCAAACATGTATGTTCTCCAGGCAGCCAAAGCAAAGTCGAGGGAGACACACCAATACCGGGAGAAGGCCGCAGTTTCATCGTGGAGATGTCGGAGATGTGACCTTGTTAGCAATCCATGCCGTGCACAACTCAAGGTGCAATCCATGCTGTGGGACGCGGAAGTGGCTGGGTCCTCAAACATCTAAAAGTAAAGCTGAAGATCATAAGATGCATAACACCTCTGGGCCCCAATAAATCTCAAATAGATATCTCAGATATCTCTGCTGGCAGTTGTGAGATTGCTTGCAAACGGCAGGAATCTGACGGATAAGGATTCAAGCCGCCACTCAAATGAGTCACAAGACTGTCAATGATGCTTCGTTCTTTCCTAATCAGTTCAACCATCTATGTCCCTCTTTGTAATCGAGCTAAAGACTGCAATAGAATCATGGAGGCTTTCACTTCTCCCTTGCAGCGACCAAGAAATTTGTGAAAGAAGTTCCTGCGCTTGTAGCTTGAACATGATAGATCTATAGACCAAACGAGAAAATGCTTTGCAGTTTGCGGCAGCATTACATAGGCTTGTGCACAATGTATTCTTCAGCTATAGCTTGAATCTGAAAAGCCCAGACCCAAAGTCAGGTGATTGATCAACTTGTGAAGATGTGATTCTGTGCTTTCCATCTTCTCACAAGGCCGCAAGTCAAGCTGATGATGAACTTCGAGAGGCCACAAAATTCATCAACGACTTGTGAGATGCCAGATGACAATTCAAGCAACATCCTGAAGTGATAACAATGTTGGCTCAAAGGCTGTGTGAGCTGTGTGAGCTGCTTTTTGGGTAGTCTTGAGGTTCCATTTTTTTGAGCAACTTGCAACTGCATAGTCACACTACCACACGAGATTGGATGACACCAACCATAGTATTTGACGCCTGCAGCCATGTATGTTGGCCCCTGGCTGTTCGCGATGATCGTGATGAGAGGAGAGGTGTCTTCGGCAAAAAATCATACTGTATGGTGCTTGTTATAACAAAGCTTTTTGTTCTAAATTCATTGGTGGTTTCTTGCTGTCTGGCAGTGTTGAACTGTGTTGTGGCCCAGAATTCGGAGGCATCGATCGGCTGAAGGCTCTGGGCTGATTGGGGATGATTTCGAGGACACTCCAGAGATGACAGTTCAGATTGGTTGAGAGACACTGGATGGGACGACTTGGGACGACTGAGCATTTGAGGAGTTTGATTTCGAAGATCAGTCCAAAGACGACATTGATCCCAGTCCAAGAGAATCAGCAGAAAGGCCAAGACAGACGCAAACTTTGTTGCAATGTCAGAGTAAGTGCTGACACAGATCTCGGATTTTGATGTGGCATACATATTGCCTTTAGTTGGGGGAGACTTCCCGGGAAAGTCGCCCCAACATGCGTTTAGTTGCTGTGGAGCAGTTACGTAAGATAGAAAATTATGTTTTGAACATAATTAAATATTTCTTTATTTAGCTTGTGTTTACACTGGTGAACTTGTTGTTTTGTCATGCCTGGCTCATTCATGTGACCGTCGAGCAAATCCAGTCACGTGTTGTCGCCCTGCCGGTGGGGGAACCATTCTTCGATTCATCTAATTGCAGTAGGTGCAGTTAAAGGTGCTTGTTGTATAGATCATGTCGCATATGCTTGTTTCTACAACAGCATCCTCCTTCCCTCCTGCTCCTGCTCTCGCTCTCTCTCTGTCTCTCTCTCTCTGTCTCTCTCTGTCTCTCTCTGTCTCTCTCCGTCCCTCTCTGTCTCTCTCTCGCTCTCCCCCTCCCTCTGCCTCCATTGCACATCTGCCTAATATGGTGATGTGGGAGAG